AATGCAAATCGACATGCAGGTGACTCTCCAGACACGAAGCTGTTGAGTTCAGATATTTATAACATTTTGTCTGAAAGCTTCTGTAAAAGGTTCTCAAGCCATTCATTATTTAGATCATTCAGAGCACATACTTCCCAAGTCACTCTAAAAATAGAACCCATTTCCCCCATCGACTGAGTCCCTGTGCCGGAGTGCGGGCCACGTGCTTTGGAAGGAAGCGGCAGACGGGGACGTTGCGTTTAATGGTTCAGTGGAAGAGCAGAGGGTTTTTTTCTGGCTCAACGTTAGAGTTGTGATGTGTACCTTAGCTTGTAATAGCCAGAAATCTAGTCGTGCTGTATATCTTTACTCCTAAATTCTTTTTCTGTAGCTTATGTGCTGATTCCTCTCTCTTGTCTCTTCCATTTGTCTTGAGAAGGTCTAAATATAATCTTCTTGGAAGTCACTACTTATTAATTTCTAGGATAAAACCCCAGGCAGTTGGTAGTACTGGTTGGTTTCCGCTTAATGTAGTTTGAGAGGCTTTTAAACTTTTGATCATGATGCAAAGAAAAGAAATTTAGATCATAACTTAGTACACATTCTCTCATGTATGTAACAGAAACGATTTTCTTGAATCACTACATTCATGTGAGGCACTAATATTTTCTGTCTCATTCTACTGAACTTTTAAAACATGCTTCTTGTGAGCAGCCAGTGGGATTGCAACTCCTCTTTAAAACTCACTGCCCTGGGATGCCAGGGCAGCTCATTCTGTTAAGCGTCAGACTCTTGGTTTCGGCTCAAGTCATGATCTCAGGGTCATGAGATCGAGCCCCGCCTCGGGCTCTGCGCTCAGCAGAGTCTGCTTGAGATTCTCTCTCTCCCTCTGCTCCTTCCCATACTCTCTCTTTCTCTTATCTGGTGAATAAATATATCTGTAAAAAAGAAATCACTGCCCAGCCATACCTGCGTGCACCCCTCACTTGCTTCTGGTTGGATGTGACACACAGGGTCCTAGCCCTATTCTCACCATGACCTCTGTGGTACTCCTCACACATCAATCCTTCGAGGACAGTTCTAACCTAAAGACCAAAAGTCTCTGTTGTTTCTTAAAATAGATGTGTTCCTTGAGAAATCGAGTCTCATTTATTTTGTGAGGGCACCGGCGCCTGGTGTCCACTTGACCACCGGCAGCTGAGGCTGGCGCGCACACAGGGCAGCTTGGGAGGTGCCCGAGGGCCGTCCTAGGGTTTCACCAGAGCTGCTGTCCTTGTCCCCAGGCTTCAGGTTCCAGTGGCATTCACACTGGTGGCAGCTTACCTCTCCATGACGATGGCACACACTTGCCCCTTTCCTTCTTATTTAAATGGGAACAGTTATTTTTAAAGGGGGGAGGGGCATTCTTCAAGAGGGTTAATCATCACTTAGAGGGCAGGCTCTAAGACAGCGTCTGGTATAGTTACTTCACATTTCCAGTAATGGAATATAGATTTCTGCTTCACCTTATCTGACACATTTCAGGGGCTCCATTTTGCCTTGCCATTAGGTTGGAAAATAATTTGGTGGCTTGTCAGAAGGGAATATTTATAACTGTGTTACTAACCAGCACATTTTCAGCCTCTAGAATAGTACAACAGGTAACTGAAGTTGGGATTGACAGCAGTTACCACTTAAAAATAAGCACAAGAAATGCCAGTGTTCACCGTATGACCTGAAACCGGTTCGGTTTTTGTAGGCTCTCATGGGTAACATGGTGCTTGATGGAAATAACGGCATAATAGAAATTACAAAAATTGATTAATGTGTTTTCATAACATCAGTGTAAGATGTCATCCTATGGCAGCAACGACATCAGGAAGTTGTGGTGGCCTCAGACATTGTGCGGGGCCCAGGGGTGGGGATCCTACCACCGCAGCCTACCCAGGTGTCCTTGAGACGCCCCTGCTTCTCATCTTGGCATAAAGACCACTAGTAGGCTCTCTGACCCCCTACTAGCAATCTTCTGGGGAACTGAAGATGTGTTTCAAAATTGGTATGTTGTCAGGACGCCTGGGTGGCTCAGTCGGTTAAGCGTCTGCCTTCGGCTCAGGTCATGATCTCAGGGTCCTGGGATCGAGCCCCCACATCAGGCTCCCTGCTCAGCGGGGAGCCTGCTTCTCCCTCTCCCTCTGCTGCTCCCCCTGCTTGTGCTCTCTCTCTCTTTTTCTCCCCGACAAATAAATAAAATATATTTGTTTAAATCGGTATGTTGTCATTAACCTAAATGCTTTACATTTCCTGAAGTTTCTATAGTTCTGGCAACAGTGGGATGGTTTGAAAACCTAGATCTCACCACACGTTCCATTTGGTGAAACGTTCATGTAAGCCAACTTCTTTTGACCCTGTGATGTTCCGTACTTGATCCCTGTCCCTATCTTTTTTAAAACCTGGTCTTATTACAGTCACCCTTGATGCAAGCCAGAGAGAGCCTTTGTTTGCTTTATGGGTGAGGTTGCTTCATCTTTGACTGTTTTAGAAACGGTGTGTTCATTTGAGTGAGAAAACCTACTAATGTCCAAGTGAAGCTGCTGACCAAGCGCCCCAGGGATTCAGTTACCTGCTCCGTTTGAGGAAAATAGCAACAGGAGATACCCCACAAGGGCATTTTCATAGGACCCCACCAAGTCTCGTCACACTGCTATCATCAGAATCTCTTCCCATCCACACTGTATTGAGCCGGTGTCCCAGGGAGAAGCCCAGAGCTGGTGCACAAGCCATGCTTTCCTGCCAGTTACTGAGCTGTAGGGCGGAGTACTCGCTTAGAGCCCGGACTCTGGAACCAGCCCGCCCAAATAGGAACCTTCAAGAGGTCACATACCTCTCTGGTCTCTAGGTTCCCCATCTGTGAAATGGGCTTCATAATAGTGCCCACCTCCTACAGTTGCTGTGAGGATCAGGTGTGGCCTGATAGGGTTCGCTCCTTTAGCCCTTAGTGGCAGGTGCCTGGGCCAAGCTGCAGGCCCTGGACCGGTTTGGAACTCTCACAACCTCTCCCCAGCAAAACAACTTGGGCATGTAGGTGTTTTGTGAATTTTTATTAAGATGCACTTAGGTTGACAATTGAGGAGTAGCATTTCAGAGGGGGGAGGGCATGGAACTCCTTCAGGTAAGCCCATCTGATTTTTGCTTGTGTGTCCTTTTCCTTCATCGCTAGCAGGAGGGGCCGGGGACAAGTGGCGATACCACCACTTACATTAGGTAGACGTCCAACAGTAGTCAACACACTTCTGGTTTTTGATAGTAGAGTTAACTACCATTCCCACTAGCTTTATCATTAAATCGGTCAAATGGAGAGCAGGAAATCCCCCATCGCTTTTGGTTGGCAAGGACGTCTGCCTTTTCTGCACCTTCTGCGGACGGCTGCTTTTGTTCAGATCCACAGCATTATTTGGCACCTGTAGCTTTGTGCTAGAGGAGGGTATCTCCATGGTGAGTTGAAGCAGATGTAGCCACGAAAATAGAAGAAAGGAGATGCCCGTCAGGAGGATCGAGGCTAGTCTCATGCTTCGAGTGTACCTGACCGGTGCTAACTGATTTTTCACTATGCTTCGTGCATCACTTAGAGGAGCAGGTAGCTTTCTAGTTAATCAAATCTTTTTTAACTACCTATAAGGCAATCCTGAGCTTGCAGCAAATCATTTCAATGAATCTCATTCGTATTTACCAGGTGCTGCTTTTTAAATGCAAGAAGAGAGGTTTTTCAAGTACATTTAAAAAGTAGTGTGTGTAAATTAGAGAATTCCTTGTTAAACCAGGGAAGAGTGAAAATAAGAGCACAGGATTTGGCGTTAGGAGGTCTGGGTTCTCTCTCGGGCTGTTCCTCAGGCTAGCTATGGGACAGGTCGGATTACCCCTAAAGAACTTCGGAGCTTTTAGGCATTTGAGTGTGGTAGAAGCAACTACATGTTTTTATATAAGGGTAACAGACTTACACCCTGGGGTCACCTAAATGTCAGAAGCTGTGACACAAGCAGCCCTGCAGCAGGACATAAGAGGCAGCAAACCTGTAGGACGCCTTGTGGTCCAGGCTGGTGACCGCAGAACCTGAGTTATGACTTCCCAGGTGACTCCCAGAGTCCGGAAGGGGGCTTGTGAGCTCCTCCAAATGTATCTTATCTAGGTCTCTCAAGTCAGAAAAGTGAGAAAGATGTATGCTGTGTGGTAGGGGACAGAGTACAGGAAGAAGTATGATGTGTCCAGAAATTAACCAGCAAACTAATCCATGAACTTGGATTCCAAAGTATTGTACTTACACGATTGAAAGCTTGAGGCCTTTTTTTTTTTTTTTCTTTTGGAGAAGTAATTTCTAAGATTTATTAATCACTAGATTATTACACTTTCCTTGGACTCTCAGCTCTCAGGAAGCTCTTTACAGCACTTAATAAATATTAGAGTGTTCCCAACATTTCATTACTGTCTTCTCTGTAAATTGGACCACCTGTGACCCCAAACCCTCTGTGATCCTGAGTGTCCCTTCCCTTACTGATCGCATGCTCCCCAATTCGAAGAGTTGATCTGTTTCCTTTCGAGTGGGTAGCAGATGCCCTGCAGGGGTTCAGGCAGCTAAAGATCTGGCGTACAAGCCTCGGGCTCACAGGTCTCCCAGGCAGTGGCTGTCTGCCAGGCATCAGGGCCTCTGCCTTCTACCCATGCCCGCTGCACTCCAGTGCCAGGACCTGACCATGGTCTCTGTTTGTTAAGAAACATTTTTTTTTTAATTGAAGTACAGTTGACATACAATGTTACCTTGGTTTCAGGTGTGCGACATAGTGACTGCACAAGTCTGTACATCTTGCTGTGCTCACAAGTGTAACTCACCTGTCACCACACATCACTATTAGAGTACCGTGGACTTCATGCTCTATCATCCCTGACTTATCACAGAAACATTGTATTAAAGAAACATACTAAACAGTTTTAAGAATGCTGACACTCAGTGCAGAGATAGGGACATTAACTCTCTGCTCTCTTCTCAACAGACACGGGACGACTTCCTGGGACAGGTGGACATACCCCTCAGTCATCTCCCGGTAAGGACTGTTACCTGCTTTATGGGGCATGCTGTGAGCAGTGCTTTCTAATTGTTTCCAGTTGGGTGTATTTCAGTGCATATTTCCTCAAGGCAATGGAGCAGGCTGAAATGAAGAGCATGTGCTCTGGCCCTGGCCCTTTCTAGAAAGTGGTCCTTTCAGGGGGACGGGAGAGGGCTTAATTGTAAAACTCAGGTGTATCTGAATCATCCACATACGCTTGTGTGCATCACCAGCCTCTTTCTCTTCTGGCCTTCCTTTTGTCACATCATATAAAACAGCTCCTTTCTCTGCCAAAACCTTCTTCTTGTCACTGGAATGTCTTTACTTTCAAAAATTCATCCTTTGGGTCGGATCAGATATTTGTTCCCTTAGTCTAGAATGACACGGGTGTTTCTCTTGGGCTGCATCCATATAAGCTAGTGCTTCCCAGATTTGGGTGTATGGCTTTTCTCAGGCAGCATGGAGACAAAAGGTGCTGCCTGTTCTGAGTGAACTTGTCAGCTGGAAACACCCACTGCAGCTTTAGAAATTACACCGAGTTGGTACATGTGGTGTTGCTACCATTCCTCTCTGCTCAGATGAGTAGCAGAGCCATTGGGACTTCTGACCAATAACCGAGGGTAAAGGTGTCTTCTGCCCGCTCCAGAGGCACCGTAGGTAGAGCGGGACACAGGAGCTGGAGGCCTTGGAGAAAGGCGGATCAGCTTGTGGTTCAGCTTCGGTTTTTCAGATTGTCGCATCCCCTCTCCTGGCCCTTCAACCTCTGGGCATCACAGAGTGACTTAAGTAGCACCAAAGAGAGGAGAAGTCCAATGTTTCTGCCTTTCAAGGGCCTTTTGTTAATTTTTTTAATGCTTTGTGTGAGCAAATAGCATAAATAGTCTATAAACTAAAATGACTTAAACCACCTGGGGGGGGGGAGTCTGCCACTGTGTTGAAGTCATGGCTCTTACCGTATGTTAAATACCAAGAAAAGACTGTGTCTTACCCAGGAAGCTCTGAAGATGTGCTGTGAGGGCATGAGATAGCAAGCAATTTATTCTTAATTACTCAGGGGAGCTATTAAGAAAAGTTTCAAGCACATTCCCTTCCAAAAAACTGGAAGCACAACCGATACCATTAAAACATTTTTTGTTTCCATATAAAAACCTAGAGCTTCAAGGTACTTGCAGAGGGTGCCTGTGTGTACATGCGACCGACTCCATAAGCCATCAGAAACCCAGTCATCCTTTTAGAATCGTGTTGAGAAGACATGGAAGTCTCAGTATTGGCGAGGAAAGACTCTCCACGTATTTCTACATCAGTTGGTCTTCTGTGTCTGCTCTTCAGGTCGAAGCTGTAATCTCGCATTTTGAGGCAGTGTGGGTTGGCCAGTTCTTCTGTGGATATCCTTCACCACCCTTTTCCCTAACATAAAAACTGACTCTCGGTCAAGGCAAATTATGTACTAATAGTCTCTGAGAGGTGTAAGTGGAATCTCTTAAGCAACCTGCTCCGACAGTCCCTGGTTTGAGTGATTGAGGGCAAATTGGTTTTGAAAGGTTGGGTGGGACTCCCAGAGAACAGAACAGCGTTCCTCTTCAGAGACCAGATCAGTAGAGGGAATGGTTTAGCTTCGGGTGGAGGCAAGAGGGAGCTTTCAAAGGAAGAAGTGGTGCCAGGACTGGAGCCGGGAATCAAAACCAGCCAACAAAAGAAGGGAGCCAGTGAATGCCTGGAGGGAACTGAGAACCTCTCTGTGACCTGAGCTGGGTGCTTGAGGGAGCCGCCCTGTTTTGCATCTGCACAGCCCCGAGCTTATACTGGAGTGCAGTGATCTCCATACTTACAATGGACTAGCTTTGTGGGGTCAACTGCAGTCCGGGAAATGGACCACAGAGGAAGCAGAAGGAGAGGAACGAAGGTGCATTCATCACCTTTCAAGTGGTGGTAAGACCCAACTAGCACATTCTGAATGGATGCAGCTTTTGGGCTCGGGATTTGAGGTGCTGTCATGTGTACGGTTGATCGTACATGAAGGGTGCTCATGGGAAAATTACACAGTGTCCTTATATTTTGAAGAACACAAGTGTGGGTGTGAGAAATGGATGTCAGCGTTTGAATGTATTTTGCGGAGTCAATAATAGTCGCTCTTTTCTTGAGAGCTACGTGACCATTGTCGAGGAAGGTTTTATGTGGCCTAGAGAGTCAATATTTGTCAACATCATCAAATTGTAGATAAAAGAAATTAGGGAAATTGTCTCCTTAGCAATGAGAGAAGGTAGGGAGAGCAGTAATGGGGTGGTAAATTTGCCATTGCCAACCTAGGTGAGCCTTTTCAGGGTTGAGTATCTGACGGCGGGGGTGATTAATTTTTATGCAGCCTCATTATCTGATAGAGCATGGCCGATGGACATGATTCTGGTCTCCGAGGAGGAATCCAGGCAAGCAGCTTCCTCCCTCATGCAGCCTGGCATCGTCACTCGTTACTGTAGCCACATGGGGTAGCTGAGCATTTGAAATGGGGCCCATATGACTGAGGACCTGAATTTATCATTTTATTTCATGTTAATTAATGAAAATTAAAATTTTTGAAAAGCCTCATGGGGCAGATGGCACCATATTGGATGGTACATGTGAGGGTGAGATCAAGTTGGCTTAGGTAAAAAAAAATGTGTGATTCTGGATTCCCTTTTCCTCAGATAATAATTCTAGCTCTTAGAGGGATTCCCAAACCCCCACCAGCTTTAGTGATTTTTCGTTTGTTTTTTTTCCCCCTTACCTGAGGCTGTTTCTTTTTAGTTCTACAGGTCTGATATACCAAGAACATTTAATTTAGGTAGTAATAAAAAGCCCAGATGTTTGAAATCATAGAAATTAAAAAGAAGTATTTTTTTTTACTTTTTGAAATCTGTATTAGCAAAATACCTAATTGCGTTTGGTCTATAGCCAGATAGATACATATCCACTTACTTATTTTTAAGGCATTTTAAACCAAGAATGAGGCTTTATCTTATTGCCACAAGATACCACAAACTTTTATTCCTTTAAAAAAAAAAAATCCTCTCTGTCTTGGTTCTGGTCTAAGAAGTTGCCTTAATTTGCACGAAGCCCTCTTCTAAATCAGGAGCTTTATGGAGAAGATCCAAGACAGCAGAACTAAACTCAGTGTAATCTCGTGATTGTTAAGAAATTATTTTTCATAATTTAAATCCTATTTTGTGTTTTGTGTATGTTTGAAAACTAAGTATTTTAGACCTAGTAATTGATGCTTGCAAAGAACCTTCTTCCCTTGCTGAAATTCTGGAGGCATATTGGCTCCATTGCCAGGGGATATTGGGGTTTGCCATGTAAAACCTTGCTTTTAGGATCTTAGTGGCTTGCCTAAGCTGTACTTACTTGGCAGCTATAAATTGACCCCCAGGAAGACTGGAGGGTCAGAGCGACCCTTCCACTGGTGCACGATGCAAAGTCACATGCATCTTGGCATCTTGGACCTGGTGCACAAGGGTCCTCCTTGGCCCCCTGCCCAACGTTGGGTCCCTGGAGTACTTAACGGGCCCTTCTGCGCCCTGTGGGTCATTGCAAGGGGCTGAGTTGACGTTCTGCCAGGGTGACAAGTGAAGGAGGCACTCGGGAGAGGTAGGGCAGCAAGGTGTACCCCACGGGTCAGAGTCACCACCTCAGTGGCCAGAGGAGGCCAGTGTCAGCTCCGTCATTGTCCCCTAAACAGGAAAGAGTAAGGATGGGTCATGTGAAAGGAAATAATCTTCTTGTTCCCGTTCTGATGATGGGTCCCTCCATGCTTTATACTCCTCAAATGCTTCCAGAGGAAACCAAGTAATTTTAGACTTGTGATTGACTTTCATCTTTCCTCAGCCCTCAGAATCCGTTCTCCCAGTTTTATTCTGGAAGAAAACATGGAAAGGAAACAGGACATGGGAGTTCAGAACAGGAGGGACCTCTCTTTCCTCTGCTCCCATTCTAGATGAGCCACTCATCTTTCATACTTCTTGTCCAGTTTATTTATTTTTGAGGCCAGAGCGAGGAAAAGGAGGAGAGGGGGAACAGGGGAGAGTAAATAAGGTTGGTGGTCCGACCTTTTATGCAGATCCGAGAATGAAGAAAACATCAGTACATACTCACGGAAGTCTCCAGAGGTCAGGCTTTAGAAGATCTCTCCAGAATTGTTGACTCGGACCTGGGAGATGAGCGAGTCGCCTTGGTAACGTTAATAAGCTAGTCATCCTTTCTGGGCCTCTGTGTGTCACCCGTAAAAGGAGGGCGTGTGCAGAGATGACCCCCCCCCCCGTGTCCAGCCCACTCTGTCCACACTGCGGCTCCACGGCTCACTGAGCAGAGGCACAGATAACCAAGAGGACACGTGTGTCACCTGGGAGACGTGGGCAGCAGGGCTCGCGGGAGGCGTGCGGAGCAGGCGGGACTCTTAATTTAGGAAGGTAGTCCTTCCCACTACCAGCCTGACACCTGTGCCACAGCCGAGACAGAGCTGCTCTTTCGTTGTTGCTGTTGTTGTTGTTCCATTGCCGTGGGGCACCAGCCATAAACGCAGCTCAGTTCAGCTGCGATTGCTGATTTCTCGTGAACTACCAGTTTTACATGTGTTTGTGAAATGCGGTGTGGTGGTGGTTTAAAAAGTTGATGACTTTTATGTTCACGGTTTATGACTTCAAGTTTTATGACTTGTCTTTACTAATTGTTTAGAGGCAAACCAACGCCGAGACTTGGACTAACAACAGAGGGCCATTTTCTGGCAGGCGTTTGCCTGTCGCCCGTCCGCAGTTCTTGACGCCGCCTTCCATTGTGTCTCCCCTGCCCTTGGAGCCCCCAGCCCGCCCGCCCTATTCAGCTCCAAAATCTCTGTATCCATGGGAAACACAGTGCGGTGGAGAGCGCTATTTTAAGAACATTGGTTTCTCCTATTTTCGTCAAGTGCTACTCAAGGCGGTCAGGGTAGCTTCTGAATTTCAGTTTCCCTAGAGGGAAGCATTTTCAGGGCGGTGGGATTGTTCTGGGCACCTTAGTTGTACTTGAAGGTGACTCAGTTGATGAGCACCCCTTTTCTATGTATGGCTGATAGCAGGGTAACGGTTCCCTCTCCTATGTATAGAATTCAGTGTCCGAGAGCTTAGAGGGACTTGAGACACCATTTGTCTACTCCTTGCATTTTACCGATGAGGATACCTGGGCCCAGACAGGGAGGTGGCTTGCCCAGTGATCAGGAGATTGGCGGCAGTGCTGGGCCAGACCCTGTGTCTCCAGCATTGATCTGTGTTGTAGTCAAGGGTCTGGTTCGGGGGTGGAAGGGAGCCTAGTCTAAGGCTTGGGTGCTTTTGGTGGTTGCATCCAGGTTTGGACTCTAGGGTCCTAGTAAGTCTGTCTGCTTCCATTTGCCCACAGAGCTGTTCATCTCACTATATGTGACAGTGATTAAGCAGCTCCCCTTTTTAAGTTGAAAGTGCTGTGTATCCAAAAGATTTTCTTGGGAACGTTCAGCGCCCCAGAACAGGAGGCAGCAGTGTCCACTTTGGCCAGTAATGCGGTCAGCATCAGTCTGTGAGGTGGCTTTCTACCAGTGCTGTCCTGGGGATCTCCCCTGGGCTTTTTCCCGGCAAACAGGATCAAGTAGGCCGCTGAATAATGCCAAGAAGAGTCCTGTCACTCTCTACAAGATCACCATCTTGTTCACATGCAAGAATGTCCGTGGAGGTGAATTTTCATTTTTTAATGCCCTGCCTTTTATTGGAGAACATGGAGGTGACCGTACTCACAGGTGACATGAGAATGAGAATTAGCTGAAGATGATAAAGGCCAGCGTGTGTGAGGTGTGCCAGGGACCCTTGCAAGGACTTCGTCTATGCCCACTCAGGTGATTGGCTTATTCCTCACAACAACTCTGTGAGATCCTGTTACAGCCCCACTTCCTAGATGAGGACACTGAGGCACAGAGAGGTGAGGGGCTTGCCCTTGGCCACATGGCTCTGCCAGCAGCGAAGCCAAGACACAGACCTAGAAGGCCTGCCTCTTGATTCGCGTGGTGTTGGTCATGTAAACTATGTAGTCGGGTGGACAGGTTCCCTTGCAGAGGAGTCCCTCCGAGCTCTGTGCTTTCCTCTGCTCGCTGTCTTTTGCGCTCTCTGCTGATCCTAGACCCCTCATGCCTGCTAAGGATCCTGTAGTTTTGTTCATGCCGTTCTGCAGCTTGACCTGTCCTTCCTCCCAGCTGTCCACCTGTGTCCAAACTTGCCCATTCATCTCAGTGTGGACCGCACATCCCCAAACCATTTTGATCCCCAAGTTGAGAATCAGCCTCTGCCCTCCCCGCGCAGGTCCCACAGAATGTGATCTTTATTCCATCCTAGGTTCAAGTTTTGTTGCTACCATGGTCCTTGTTACACATCCTTGTTACTCTAAGGGAAGGCACCATGTTGTAGCCACACGTCTTTCACGTGGCTGTTGTTCTAAAACTTTTGTGGTTGAATAAATGAGAAAAGGAAGAAATGCAGTAGTAGTCTTTTTTTTTTTTTTAAGATTTTATTTATTTATGAGAGAGAGAGAAAGCACATGAGAGGGGGGAGGGTCAGAGGGAGAAGCAGACTCCCCGCCGAGCAGGGAGCCCGATGCGGGACTCGATCCAGGGACCCCAGGACCACGACCCGAGCTGAAGGCAGTCGCCCAACCAACTGAGCCACCCAGGCGCCCCAGTAGTATTCTTGATTAATAAATTTTCCATAGTAAGTGTTACATGTTTGGAAACCTCTTTTCTCAGAAAATGTTTCCAAAATGTCTAACTTGATTGCCTTAAAGAGGACTGCCCAGAGAATATAATTGACTTCCTTCAGCAGTAGTGAATTTTCATGGCCTCAGTACTTTACTGCAGATCAGATGAATGAATCAGCTACTTGTACGAGTGCCTACTTTGTGCTAGGCAATGTTTTGGGCACCAAGGATTTTGCTCACCAAGGTGAGGAAATCCAAGTCTCCAATCTCATTAGCTTAATCCTAAAAGTGATAGATGACAAATTCGTAAATAAATGAACAAGATAATTTCAGATAGTGAAAGGGAAGAAGATAAACCAGGATGCTCTGATTAGAGGGTGGAAAGGGGAAGCAAATGCCGTGTCTGAGGATATGACCTGGGATCTCACACCCGGGTTGTAAAGCGGAGCCAGCTGAGGCCATTTGGAGCCGGAGCTGTCCGGCAGAAGGACCTGCTGGGGCAGGATTGGATGTGATGTGCTCCAGGAGAGATGAGGCCAGGGCGGTTGGAGCGAGGGGTGAAAGGAAGGACTGCTTCACAGTGACGTTATAGGTATGTTTAACCTTATAGGACATACAGGAAAGAATTTTCAGTTCATTATAAGCAGAGTAGGAAGCCATTGGAGTTTAATGTAGGGAGTGACATAAAATATGTAACATTTCAAATATAGATGCATACACACACTCCTCCGATATAAATAGTCAATAAATCATAATACCGTGGTTTGTCTCTCTTGCTACAAAAGTACTTTACATTATTTTAATTAAAGAACCTAGTCATTTGAGGTTTTGCTACATACATAGTATTTAAAAAATTAAATAGTAATTTTCCAACTTCCTTCTTGCTTTGACCAATGAATTTTGCACAGTGAGTACTGATTTCTTTAAAAAAAAAAAAATTACAATTACATTTCACAGCTTCATGAAATAAGCACCAGCAAGAGGCTGATTAATGGTGCTACCTAGACTGGTCTCTGTAGGAGGGGATAGTCTTTCAGTTATCTTAGGCTGATGATACGATAACTTTAATGGTAAAAATAAAGCAAAACTGTCTTCACGGGCATATTTTCCTGTTAACTCCATTTTTAGGTTTCTTGGATCACAGGGACAGGAAGGCACCGGTGACCACTGCTTCTCCAAAATTAATCAGCAGTGAGATTGAGGCCTGCACCCTGTAGTTAGAAATTAGACTTGGCAATGACGGCTGTCATTTTGTCATTTGTCTAAGGCTGGGGTTGGCTCCTGAAAGTGGGTGTTGATAGTGACATCTAGTGGATCTTGGGTAAAGTTTTGTTGACCTATAAAATAATTGTCAAATACTGGTTGAGGAACCAACCCCGTTTTTACCTTCCCACGTTCTAAAACACCAGTGTGTGTTCTCTGCAACCCAGTTTGGTGTATCTAAAATACAACAGTATCAGGAGTTTGAAACTTGCTTTTTCTTCCTATAGACAGAAGATCCGACCATGGAGCGACCCTATACATTTAAGGATTTTCTCCTTAGACCAAGAAGGTGAGGCTTTGGGGTACAGGTGTTCTTCATGCTTCGGTTTGGTTTTCTCTGAGGAAGATTTCAGGTTCTTTGCCTTTTGCATCTTTTTTTTAAAAGTCATCATAAATATGAACGATGTAACCAAGTTATATCCTTTATAACCAATTTTCTTCCATCACACAGTCATAAATCTCGAGTTAAGGGATTTTTGCGATTGAAAATGGCCTATATGCCAAAAAACGGAGGTCAAGATGAAGAAAACAGTGAGCAGAGGGAAGACATGGAGGTAAGTTGCAGAGCTGCAGGCCTTGATCTGGTTTCTTTGCCCAAGATCATACTAATATTCCATTTAAGACTTTATAATTGAAGGAAATAAATTAACTGTGAAAAAACTTACCTGGGTCTTTGAATCTTACTGATGTGTTTGGCTTTGGTTAAAAAAAAAAAAAAGATAAACTTTTCATTTTATGTTACAGCACTGATAATTGAAGAGGCTTCTCTTTATTTATAAAATGCTGTACCCGCATTTCATGAACAGCCCCACCCCTATGTGAAATTCTCACCATATTTCATCCTCTTTTTTTTTTTTTTGAAGATTTTATTTATTTGACAGAGAGATAGCAAGAGCAGGAACACAAGCAGGGGGAGTGGGAGAGGTAAGAGGCAGGCTTCCCGCCGAGCAGGGAGCCCGATGCGGGGCTCAATCCCAGGACCCTGGGACCATGACCTGAGCCGAAGGCAGACGCCTAACCGACTGAGCCACCCAGGCGCCCCTTCTCCTCTTATTTCTTTGGACTTTTCAGCTCATTGTAAATTTCCTCGAGGCATTTGGAATCGCTTCAAAGTGGAGGAAATGATTTAGAAAAGCTTTTCCAAGGTTCTTATGTGTTCGGCCCACAGGTGATGCATTATCCTCTAGAAAAGCCATTTTGGAACCAGCTGTCCAGAGGGATTTTTCCTTGCCTCCTGGCACAGCTGCCTCTTACAACTCAGTCCCATACCTACATCGTGGGTCCCACTGTACCTTCCCTGCTCATGCTTCAGACAGTGCTGTTGTGTTAGACAAATTCTGCTATTGTTCTAGAAATGTGCATTATACGGGGCCCGTCTGGGGCTTATTTGCACATCTGTTTGCAGCTGTGGCATGTACGTGCTACGTGAATTATGTGTTAGGGGCACGTCTTCGGAGCCCTCCCCATGCCAAGTGGTCGCATTTCCAGGCAGCGTTTCACTTGTGCACTTTCTCCCTACGGGGAGGAGCGAAGCGGGGGGTAGGCATGTACGAATGTTAAGATTTCATAAGCACATCGGCAGATTTTTATCTCAAATCCAAGGAATTTTTTACACTCTTGTAGCTTTCCAGCTGCACTAACCAGTGAATTACTTTGATTTTCCAGTGACTTTACTAGGGGATGTTAGGAGGGAATACTTAATGCCTAAAATATGTGTTGGAAAAATTCGTAACTCTGGTACCGTGAAGCCTGTTGATGGGGTGGCAGCAAGCGGGGAGGGCCTAAGCAGAAAGCAGCTTCTGGACTTCTGCTCTCCTGACTGGACTTGATGCAGAGTGGGAGACTGACGGACTTCCAGGTTTCCCCCGCCCCAAGTGTCATCCTCCCTGGGGAGTGATGGAGCCTGGGCCTCTCGGCCCCTCAGGCCAGGATCTCTGTAAGAACACACATGTGGTGTGGCTCATCGCCCCGGCTCCCTCTCACCTCGTGGAGGTGTCGAAAAGACCACAGTGGTAACATGACCCATGTCCCTGATGTGGCTTTGCACCGCCCTGGAGGCCTTCAGGTCAAAATAACAAAATCTGTGTGTGGAAAGAGCGTAACATGACTTAACACAACACACTGTACGTATCCAAAGCTGTGTTGTCTGTACAGTGTGGTCACGTTCAAAGGCAGCACAATTAATTGGTCATTGCTCAGAATTTTTTTTTTTTTTAAGACTCTTGAATTAATTTTTTTTTTTTTTTTTTTTTTGCCCTTTTTGGGAATTTCTTCACATGTGGCACATGAAGCCACTGAAAGAGCCACAATGCCAAGGAGCAAGGAAGAAGGACCCAGAGTACACCGTGATTGTTTTCCCTCACGTCCAAAGGGCCCACCTCAACGATCTTCATTTGCTTTTCTTCCACAGCATGGCTGGGAGGTCGTGGACCCGAATGACTCGGCCTCTCAACACCAGGAGGAGCTCCCCCCGCCTCCACTGCCCCCTGGCTGGGAAGAGAAGGTGGACAACCTCGGTCGTACCTATTACGTGAACCACAACAACCGGACCACTCAGTGGCACCGACCGAGCTTGATGTGAGTACCGTCCCTTGGACAGGAATGCCTCTGCGCTCAGAGGGTGGGGTGTGGTGGCTTCTTGGGGCAAATAAGGAAATCAGTCCTGCATCAGAAAAAGCGTGAGGTCCCGACAGTGTTCGTTTTCATTTAGTTTAAAGAGCTCGGGAGCCCGTCAGAATTCACGTGTGCTAAAGAAGCAGCTCTTGGTTTTGTTTCCTGTTCGCCTCTCTTAAGTATGGACTAATTCATTTTGTGCGCCTTTGTATACAGGCTCATTAAAAAATACAGGTGATTTTTCCCAGATTTATCTTAAGGATGGTAATGGTATCACTTCTCTCCTAACACAGAATGGAAAACAGCAGGTGGAGAGACTGTGCAATTTTCTCTGAAGTTTTTGGATTTTTATTCTCTTTAATTATTTGATTTGGGAACACAACTTATTTCTTCCTTTTGGGGAAATTTATTAATCACCCCCTTGATCTCGCTAGACACCCATGGGAGGGTTGCAAACTCAGAATTAGTCATTACTGTTTATTCTCATCCCTCACCAGCCTCAGGGATGCAGTGAATTGATCACTGTTTTGTTCACGCAGCAGTTTTGTATTTGATGGTAGAAAATAAACACTAGTTAAACCTCAGCTACATTAAAAAAGGATTTGAAGCAGCTTGCTCTTAAATCATGGTATGTAAAGCAAGACCTAAAACTATTAGCATACAATAAAAGGCAAAACAAAATATTAAAGGAAGGAAAAGGAAGAAATTATCTTTGAAAATTTGAGCTCCCTAGCAGCCAAGACAAGGAGGGTAATTATCAATCAGTTATATAATTTTAATATGTAATAAAAGCAAATATATGGAAATCATTTTCTCTTTAACCCAGACTCTGAAAGAAATTTGCTAATGATGGTTTTTAAACAAGTGATATTAGCAGTGTGATGGATGGTATTGTCAGTAAGCCTCTTTATCTTTAGACGTTCCAAAGAGATTCTGCTTATGACCCTGGATGGAGAAGGTAGCCAAGAAGTGGTCGTCCAGGTTTTGTTTGATTTAGAGAGAAAGCTTGCCGAATCTACACCAATGAATCCAATCCTTCCTAAGCCCCCAAGTGGGTTCCTGTGAATATCAGCTGTGCTTGGTCAGCTTTAGACCCAGCTCATTAGTCACAGGACAGTGTAAATATCCAAACATCCAGATGATTATGAGCTCTTCTTTCCCATAGAAATATAAAATGGAAATGGTTAATTATTTTTATTCTATTCTTTACTCTTCCCCTTTGATTAATAACCATTGCTATTGTGAAACTATTTTAAGCCATTTGACTACTCTAGCTATTTGTAGTTTAAAAAAAAACAAAACAAAAAACTGGACACCCCACCCCCCAACTTCAGCTTGGTTACATGTAGTGACTGGGAATCTTGAATCGAGAATCTTGGTAGCCATACCCTAAGGCACCATTATCTTCCTTTACAAATCATCACAGGACACATAGTACTCTGTGGGGACCAGAGTGTCCTGTGACCTCTGTAGAAAAGTGACCACCAGCAGCTCACAAAGAAATACTAATGGCCATACGTACATGGAAAAAATATTCGCCTTCATTATAATCATGTAGACTGAAGTCTGTTAAGTGGAAATCCTTGCTTTCTCTACCTCCCAGAGTTGTGAAACTCTAATGAGGAAATTCCTGAGAAAAGACTTCATATGTTTTTGTAAACATACCACCTTGGTGGCAGTGTCCCAAAGAACTAAACCAAAACAAAAGAGATCATTTCTACCGTGCTGGCTCATCAGTTGTCCAGAGTGACATGGGAAAAATGCAGCTCTTAATCCAAGTTCAGGTTCACGTGTAGTTTAGGGAGTGGTCAGTGGCATGATTATCCCCATCCGTGAGGCAGCCCTGCCAAAGAGGGTAAACCAGGAAGGACATCAGCATAGCTGAGGTGGGGCCCAGGGAGTGCCTCCTCTCCAACGGGCCTGGCTTCTAGAAAACAAGAGAAAAATAAGATATGAAAAGTTAGCTTCCACAGTAACCTTTTCATCCCATCTAAACTGTTTTGAGAATTTGAGGTGCTTTCTCCTTAACTTTACTTGGTTTGACCAGAAGCCCTCAAGCCTTCCAGAAGTATTTTAAAGTATTATTCTAATTAAAAAATAATTATTTTCATAATTCAGTATTTGCAGAACACTGCTGCACTCTTTGAGGGGAAATTGATATTAAAAAGTGTATTTTTTTTTCAGATGTTTTATTTATTTAGGAGAGAGAGCATGAGCAGGGCAGGGAAGAGCAGAGGGAGAGGGAGAAGCAGGCTCCCCACTGTGCAGGGAGCCCGACGTGGGGCTCGATCCCAGGACCCTGGGGTCATGACCTGAGCCCAAGGCAGACACTTAACCAGCTGAGCCACCCAGGCGCCCCAAGAAATATCTTTGTTGAAAGGCTCGCTCTAAGGAAATGAGACCATGATAACTATGTGCTAAAGCAAAGAATTAAGACTGTCCTAGTGACCCCTGTCTTCCCCAGTTCATTAGGCCTGTGCTCCAAACTTCAACCCCCTGAAAAATCTCCATGACAGCTCATTGCCCTCCGGCGGCTGTTCTTCAGGCTCCTTCTCCACCCTGTCTCTTGCCAGATTCCCCACCCACAATGATAAACCCCCAGTGTGTCGAGTGGCTGGACCATACACAGCTGCTTTCTGATTACTCTCCTCGGCCCTGTGGATGCAGTAATGCGCCCCGCCCCCCGCATCCCCGCCCAAAAACCGGAACAAAGCTAGAAGGTCCCCTTTCTTCTGGCTGCCTTTAGAGGTCAGCCTCCTCTACCTTCCTCTGGGGGAGCTGTACTTCTGTTCAGGTCTCACTGTCAGGCTGGTGCTCCCCAATGCTCCGCTTGCCTGTTGGAGATGGGACTGTGTTTTCTTAGTCACAGATCTGCCCCTTAAGTGCCTGGCCCAAAGTAGGAGCTCAGCAAAATGCCTCATAGCTGAACGAATGAGCACAAATGAATCACTTCTGAAAGTGATTATGGGCACGCAGTTTAGTGAACCGTCTAGGCCTGGATATAGAATTCCAGAATGGAAGGCTGACCACAGAGTGCTCCCAGCTCTCTCAAGGATGAGGATGGCTTTTTAAAACACCCCTAATTTTAGAATTCTCCTTGACCCTGTTTTAAATGTCAGCTGTAAGCTTTTTACTGTAAAAAGCAAAATTTTAGGGGCACCTGGGTGGCACAGTTGGTTGAGCACCCGACTCTTGGTTTCAGCTTGGGTTGTGATCTCGGGGTCCTTGGGATCGAGCCTCATGTCGGGCTCCAGACTCGGCGCAGAATGTGCTTGAGATTCTCTCTCTCCATCTGCCCCTCCCACTCGTGTTTTCTCTCTCTCTCAAAATAAAAATCTTTAAAAGATACAATTTTAAAAACATGGTGAAGGAATGAAATTAAGGTTATAAATGAAGATGAACTTGTGAGACCTACTTAATTCCATTACCTCTCATTCTAAAATACTTTGTACATCTTCTGTCATAGCAACGATGTAATCCTATCTCAGTAACTCCGCTCATCATTGCAGTAGCTAACATATGTGAATGTGAGTGATCTCACACTGATCTTAATTGGCCCTGAACTTGATAAACTGATGGTTTATCATGCCTTTATCCACTTGTATATTTCCCATGAAAGTCAAGTGAAGAATATATATATGAAATTAACGACTGAAGAAAATTGAAATAACCGTTTCCTAAAATATTTGCTTGCCCCCAATAAAATCATTTTCTGTTTTAATCTGTAAGCTCAGAAATATTTTTAAATGTTCATCATCCCATTAGTGACTCTTTAAATTTCCACTTTCAACAACCCTCTCATTCAGTTGCTTAATGACATGCAAAAGGCCTCCTTTGTGTGAACTTTTTCACTTTATCACTAAAGATGGTAAAAGCCCGGGATTAGAATTTCAAAATCAGAGGTATCTTTATGCTATTTAGTTGTTTCTGGTTCACACCGATTACTAATTATATGAGCCTGTGGGATAAGAAAGATTTGCATAATTGATTTTAAATGTCCCCTTTTTTAAAAGTAAGCTCTTCCAAAGCAATGGAATTTTATATACTTCTAAGAGAGAAAAAATGCAGGCATAGTGATATTAAAACCTCATTTCTTCTCAACCGCTCAGAAGTCCCTCTGACAGTGCAGTATGTATAAGGACCTGGCACATAGCATGCATTAGTCACTCAATGTTCATATCACCGTGTTTACCAAAAGTTAACGTAAAGATGTTCGTTGGAAATACTTAAACTATCTCAGAAACAGGCATTGAAGAGTCACCGATTTATTTATTTATCTGTCTATTTATAAGATTTTATTTATTTGGGAGAGACAGAGTTAGCAAAAGTGGGGGAGAAGGAGAAGCAGGCTCCCCGGAAAGCAGGGAGCCCAACTCGGGGCTCGATCCCAGGACCCTGGGATCATGACCTGATCCAAAGGCAGACACTTAACCAACTGAGCTACCCAGGCGCCCCAAGATTCACCTATTTATTTGCATGCAGTGGTATTAGTCTCAAACTATTCACTGTTACAGGGGCCCAACAGGCTTTTTATTGGGATGTAGTATAAGTTAAAGAGTATATTCGAATATTTTAAAACCTGTGTTGTAGGAAGACTCTGTAAGGAGGGCCTTGATTAATACTCCAGTCCAATTAGTCTGAAATAATGTTTTCAAATATTTTGAAAGGTTAACTTGCAATATCATTTTTGTTAACTGAATAGGGTGTCTTATTGAGAGAGTCTTGAGTTTTCCCCAAAAAACATTTTGACATTTAAACTTCTACTCTAAAAGCCAGCAAGTAGTATTTCTCCTAAAGGATGATTGCCTGTAATTTACTGCAAAAGTTTTTCATGATTGAATTGATGCTTTCAGATCCTGAATTAAGAGAGTTACGTGACCAAAAAAAAAAAAATGAGCCTGAAGTTACAGTGTTCTTCAAATCCCCCTTGATTTGGGAACTTACCACCTGATGTTTGTGTGAATTTTTTTAAAAGTGGCTTAATAGGGAGAAATACAGTGTCATGATTCAGAGATGCTGTCAAAATGAGATCCGCAGCAACCAAAAAAATTCATGTTGGATCAGGAGCACTTTTCTCCAGATCCCAGCTTTGAGTTTGTACTATTTCTACTCTTTGGCCAGTTGTTAATGACCAGAAGTTGCTGCCTTGTCATTACTAGTCTCCTCGAAGTGTCACGACTGACTGGCCCGGAGTCTGAGACCTGTCACCCGTCCTTTGAGAAACCTGCTTTATCACTAGAGTAAACGGATGGAGGGCTGTGATTTCTTTTTTTCTTTCTTTTTTTTTTTTTTTTAAGATTTTATTTATTAGAATGAGCAGTGGGTAAGGCCAGAGGGAGTGAGAGAAGCAGACTCGCCGCTGAGCAGGGAGCCTGATGTGGGATTCGATCCCAGGACCCCGGGGTCACGACCGGAGCCGAAGGAAGGCAGATGCTTAACCAGCTGAGCCACCCAGACGCCCCAGGGCTGTGATTTCTTAAATACTAAAGTTCTTTTACAGTATATGCCTGAAAGATACTCAAAGACATCATCACGATGCATTTAAACACTGTATCTATTAGATTGTCATGAACCTACAGCTATACTTTAGCCAAGCGCTGTGGAGAGAATTCTCCTACTTAACAGCCAGCTAGTTGTCCATGTTGAATAGGACAACCCTGACATGTCAGTGGGGGTAAGGCCCTTGGTGAGCACTGGACTGTTGCCAGAGTGCCAGGGATCAATGTCAGCTCTCCTGTCTCCCCTGCGCCCGCCCCCAGGGATGTGTCCTCCGAGTCCGACAGCAACATCAGGCAGATCAACCAGGAGGCAGCGCACCGGCGCTTCCGCTCGCGCAGGCACATCAGTGAGGACCTGGAGCCCGAGCCCAGCGAGGGCGGGGACGGCCCGGAGGTAAGCCAGCCCCACGCGGCCTCTTCCTCTCCGTGCCCCCCAGCTGGATTCCGTGTCCTCCTCTTTCTCCAGGGGAATGCTGTCTAATAATGACCGATCGTGGTCTTCCAGCTGATTGAGGACCATCGGGATGTTCATTCATTTAGGAAGTGCTTATAAAAGTCATGTTTGACGAATACGTGTGTCTGTCCATTACAAAAGGGAATGACATTGTGTCTAGTAGTGGAAATCTTAAGATATTTTCACTTTATAATTTACTTTTCCCCAGAGTCTGACCGTATCTTATTCAGTGGCAACGTGGTTGTCCTATTCCAGCAGTTGAATGAGCCCTGTAACGTGTGTGGGTACCACACATGCTTTTACTGAGTGGTGTTGACAATCACGGGATTTATTCCCAAGAAATAGAAATCTAGGTGAATTTAAGAAGGTTTATTATTTTTCCCCTTAAATGTTTATGGTAAATTGCTGGAGGAAAAATTATGAATTGAGCAACAAATGAGCAATGACTGCAACTTCCACGCACCCTTAACAACTCTATTTCCTTACTAGAAATCCATTCTTTTCAGACCGTGTGCTATGAAGATGATCATTCACAAAATGTTACAGTGCTCAAAATTGGAAAAGCAAAATTAATGATAGTAAGTTCACTGAAAGTTACTTAAAAGCACTATTTAATTACAGCTTATAGCATCTCTGCTGTTTTCATTGTGACTCCTCAGCAGTTAGAGTAAAAGAAAATCCATGAAACTCGTGAGTGCATTCCTGAGAACATTTTTAACCCATATATGTCATCACTTGTGCTAGAAGTGAGTCACTGCTCAGAGAGGTGGTGTTATAAAATGGTGAAGAGTACAGCTCCTAGAGCCAAGCTTCCTTGGGTCAATTCCTGGTCCTGCCACTTCCCAGCTCTGTCCTCTTTGGCAAGTTACTCTCTGTGCCTCGGTTTCCTCATCTGTCCATCAGGGTAGTAGTCACATCTTTCTCGTGGTTATGGAGAAGATTGTGTGCCTCCCGAGTGCTCGGTAAATGGTAATTATAGTTATTACAATGGTTATCATCGTTGGCAAGGTAACAAGAGGATCCCTTGTTCCTGCCATTTACCCCAGCGTCTCTCGTTCCTTGATAGCCTTGGGAGACCATTTCTGAAGAAGCGAACGTCACTGGAGACTCCCTCAGTCTATCACTGCCCCCACCACCATCCTCCCCAATGTCTCGGACCAGCCCTCAGGAGCTGTCTGAGGAACTGAGCAGAAGGCTTCAGATCACTCCAGACTCCAATGGGGAGCAGTTTGGTTCTTTGATTGTAAGTAATAGTCCCGTTTGAATGAGAAGTTGGGCCAGTATTTTACCATTGCTTATTGCTTTAAGTGTGCAAATAATGACCAAGATTCTTCCAGCTCCCAGAGAACTCTGACATTTTCCAAAGGTCTTCGTTTCCTAAGAGGACAATACCAAAATTAGGCCAAGCAGGTGAGAAATCTTGATTTGTAAAGAACTCCAAGAAAATAAGGGTCCATGACTTCTGTTATTACCAGCTTTAATCCTGAATTTCTTTTCCCAGCCAAAGGCTCATAATAGTACCTCCATCACAAAGGTGGTGTTTCACACTGGGACCTAAGAGACATTGGGCCTCTTAATGAGTCCTCTTAATTTGTACTCTGCTGCACCCTGTCTCATTCTCATGTGACAGATGAAGGCATGATGTTGAAGGGACTCATCCGAGACAAAGTTAGAATGGGAGACAGAAGACCTCCCCTAAGTCCCAGAGAACAAATCCTTAAGAAAGGTTATGAAGTTGTGGCACGGACCTCAGGGTAACATTTGAACTTGGGTTCTCAACCATCAGGGAACCTCTTTCTAGAAAGTTCGGATGGGGCTAAGCCCCAGTGAGAAGCAGCAAAACCAGCATGAAGACCTCCATGTTTGACAACACAAAACCATGCAGAAAAGTCCATAGAAAAATACCTGCTTGTAAGTTGAGAACAAATGCAGTCTGGATGTTACTCAAGAAATTGAACTTAAAGATATGTTACAGTAAATGATAGTAGTCACTCCACTGAAAATGGCATCCTAGAAAAATAGTCATTATTACAACCGTATCAAAGCTAAGTGGATGGGAGGACCACATCAAGTGTAAAAGCGAGTAAGTGTTCACAAAATTGTTACTTCGGTTACGGTGTTTAATTTATTTAAAGACACCATTGGCCTATATTGTATGAGGTGATGTGATTACTCAGTTAATGTGGGTTTATATTAAAATTCTGTAAATGTTTTTCAGAAAGAGGCATACCACTGAGATAAAAAATTTAATACCAAAGGGCAGGGGAGAAATTATATGTGGGGTATTTGAATTGGTGAAACTGTTGCTAAGGAAACGACATAAGCAATGAAGCCATATATTTAAAACCTATAAAAGGTAGTAGTGCAAGAACAGCAGGTGTCCACCTCTAGTTTACCAAGTAAAACATCATAATTTTCTTCAGCATTAGTATTGAGTTAGCATCTCCAGTAATTTGTATGGGGACCAGCCTGCATTTAATTATCATAAAATACCTTTAAGATCCAAGTGCAGGAGTCAGTATTATTTTAAGATTATGTTGAGTCTGATTTAACTATTAAGAATGTCTTGGAAAAAGAAGAATACAGGACTCTTCTTCAGTTTTGCTTCTCAGAGTCACTCTGTATTCAAGGACAATAGCATGACCTTTTAATAAAGAAGGAATCCTTCATACTAACCATTGTGGAAGGACACAAATAGGCCCCCATCACTGTCACAGCATCTTTCTTTGACCTTACCCCACTTCTCATTGCAAAGTATTAAAAATGAGTGAGTGCCATGTACATACTTATCCCATGGCTGAACCAGTTGCTGATTTAGACACTTGTTTGTGTCTGGGGCCTACTGCTGTTCTCTGATGGATCTGTGAGGCTTTTTTCCTAACAGTATAGATTAATACAAACAAGTCGGAGGAACGTTATACATCACACACTTGATGTTTTAGGTTAACGTTGCTAATTTCCCTTATTCCTGTTCTGTACGACTTCAACTCCATTCAGAAGCTAAAATGATAAACACCTGGCCCTTCGGAGTAGTGCAAGACCGGATCTGAGTTCTCTGGACTTAGACTCCAGCTGGCCCTTTGTCAGTAGTAATGTGCAATAAATGTCTAATAACCATATATCGATAGTTTTTCCTCTGTTCACATCACACTGGAACTTACCCCGCGGGTGCACCCCAAAGCAGAATACGAGACTGCTAGCTTCCTGTTTGCATTTTTAGAGCAGTACCAGAGCGTTACACTGGCCTCTTGAGTCCCCTTTCTTGTTTTCGCTCTCCCTCGTCTTTCCGCTGTCCCTCCTCACTAAGGACCCGTCAGAATCCCAGTGGGACTGAAACGCTTGAAAATGCAAGATTACTTGGCTACTTGAAGGACTACTGTCACGGCTCAGAAAAGCTGGTGTCTCAGTTAATTACCGTCTCAGACCAAAGAGCACTCCATTAGGCTTCAGTGACATTTTTTAAAGCAACGAGCCCAGCTCCCGGGCCTGCGTTTTCATGATGCTTCATGTCCTTTCCTCCCTTCAGCAGAGAGAGCCTTCCTCGAGGTTGCGGTCCTGCAGCGTCACTGACACAGCCGCCGAGCAGGCTCATCTACCACCGGTAACCCACACCCCCTCGCCAGCCATCGGTTGGCTCTTGCGGCTTATATTTGAAATCATCTGGGCTACAGAGGAAGAGTTTTTCCTGCGCAAATCCATTCTTGTGTCTAAATGAGACCTTAGAATTTCCTAGCAAATTAATTGCCCAAGGAGAGTGGATTTCCAGTACTGAGAGTTACTGCCATGAAGTCTCTGAAATGCTAAAAACTTTCCATTGCTTGGCTTTTCCACCCAAATTCATGCCAAATTCTGATGTGCTTACCTGACTTAAACAACTTAACTAAAAAGCATGCTTTAATAATTCTTTTCTTTTTTTTTAAACTTCATTTAGTCACTAACGCTGTGCTCCGGTGAGCTGTATCTTAAGAACATATTGAATCCCTTTGAACAGGAAGAACTCTTCTGGGTTTGCAGGGAGTGGTTTTTTTCCCATCACTAATGCCCTAAACTCTCAACCCACAAAGCGCCTGTACCTTCTCTATAAAGGCAGCTCTACTAACTAAAGAATTGGCTATAATTTGTTCCCATCCTCCCACAATGTTCAGAACTAGCAGCAAATATGGGAGAATGAGGAGTGTTTGACAATATAGGACAAAAATAAGAACAAATATTCAAATTGGAAGGCAGACCAGGACTGCCTTGGGGAGAGGTCTGGTGTATGCAGTAAAAATTTTTTTTGTAAATTTGTTTCTTCTTTTGGAGGAGAAAATATTTTGTGGTTTTAGCATGTTCAACTTGTTTAACCTTGACCAGTTTTTTTTTTTTTTTATTAGTACAAATCCTTGATCATTTGGGGGGCACTAATACTTTATCATGTATGAAGTTAAAGGAAAAAAGATTGTACTTAACAGTTTTTGTACAGTCGTGGTGTCTTCCCCATCGTGTACATTTTTACTTCAAAGCATATTGTTGCCTGTGTTTTAGTCTTTTATGGTGACAGCATGAATTCATGAGTATGCTGGTTAGCTGAGTCATTCAACCTGGTAGATTTCAGTTGTGGCGCACGTGGAATGGACTGGTAATCAGAAGCTTGACAAGAGCATCCTTTCTGGGATGGTTTTAGTACAGGCCTCTCCAAAAACCAGACTAATCAGCTGTGATAGCCTGGGGAGGGGATCCTCCTCAACCTGATGATTCTGTGATTTTCCTTGATGAATTAATGGCACTTTCCCTCCTTTTCAAAATCAATGTCAATTTTATCTACCAAAGAGCTCACTCTCCTTGAAAACTGTTGTTGATTCCTCCCTCTTTCACTGTACTCTATAAAGCTGTCAACTCACTGATCACTGGTGGCCTCTTATTCAAATTATGAGTTTGGCAGATTTAAGAATCTGCTTAATTATTTAACAGTAGGGGTAAAACCGGAGTGGTTGTTTCAAATAAGACCGCTCACATTCCTGAGGTTGCCGTTCATTGTTTTCCGGAATCATGGCTGCAACCTGAGCCTTCTCTGGGTGGGAGGGTGATCGTGTCCCTGATTTTCTTCTGGTCATCAGTGAGTGGTTGCTCAGCTTTATTTGGACATGGTGGATTTCAGGGACTCTGATTCATGTCACCTGCCTTATTGGCTGCAGTGATTCCTGATTCAGGAAGCAGTGGGTGGTCTCCCTAAGTGCATTTCACTGATGTAAATTGTCATCAACAGCCCAGTGCCCCAACTAGGAGAGTGCGGTCATCGACTGTCACAGGTGGTGAGGAGCCAACGGTAATGATACCCTTGATCAGACATTAATGGCAAAACTGTGGGTTGGTTTTAACATTTTGCATAATGGTAACTATACCCTTTTTTCTTTTTTGGATAAGATCAGCTTTTTTTTTTTTTTTCTTTTCTTTTTTGGATAAGATCAGCTTCTTTGTGCTACAGAGCTGTACATGTTTCTCACTGTAAACCTCTCACATTGTTCAAAGGTAGTGGGTAAAACAACGATTTTTCATTCCATATAGTTTTATTAGGAATGCTGTCAAACTTCGATAAAGAGCGTTTAATTTGACTGTTTAAAATATATATCTGGGGCACCTGGGTGGCTCAGCCAGTTTCTTGATCTCTGCTCAGGTCTTGATATCAGGGTCGTGACTTTGAACCCTGCGTTGGGCTCCATACTGGGTGTGGAGCCTACTTAAAAAAAAAGAAAATATTCCTGCCACACTTGCTTCGGCAGCACATACACTAGAACATATTTCTATCTTTAATGTTTGTACTCCTGGTCAGCTTTTCTTCTTTGGTAGAATGCTTGGGTAAAATAATTGGTTTGGAGGAGAATCGAGAAGCCACAGGAACCGCACGCAGTTACACACGTGGATTCCTGGTCGTGCGCACGGCCCCCCTCTCTTGTCCATTTCCTGTGCCAGATTTGCCACACTGGGTTAGATTTTCTGTGTCATGAGCATGAACCAGTGACCCTGCTCTGCCACGAGTCTCTACTCACAGGAATGAACAAGTGTTCGTACAATTTGGGGGGAGAGAGGAGAGGACATATTTAAGAAGTTTAAAAGGTCTAGAAAAAAATAGTTCCTCTGAGCCAAGTATCTGTTACTCTTAGTCATTATTTTAAATAACTTTCAGTATTCCTATTTTGGGTAACTTGACTAGGACTGTGTACTTTAGTTGCCTGGTTTTTGCTTGACCCCCTAGAGACAGGCTTAGCTTAAGAGTTTATGCTTTGAGCCGCTGTAGCTCTTTGAAGAATTTTCCTTATTGTGTCACCATTGTTAGATTTGTCGTAACTGCTTATTACTTGAGAATACGGTACCTTTAAATACACACGCAATTGCTGATTTTCGGCAGGGTGTGGACTTAAAGAGGAAAAATTCAGTTATATTGTTAGACTGTAATGCTCAGCATTGCACACAGGAAAATCAAATTGACAATCAGCAAAAATGAGCCCACTGTAAGGTATTGAACTATAGTGATTTATGTGCAAGTCATGTGTTGGGTGGCCAGGCCCAGCCTCCAGTAGAATTCAGGAAATTCTGAATTGAACTAGCCTATTTCCTACTGTGCACTAGTAACTTCTACCAGAAGCAGAGCTGCAAGGTGGAGAAGATCATTTCATTAAAGAATTTTAATAGAATTCAGGGCTAATGAGCATTCCCTACCATCCATTTTTGCATTTTATTGGAGCCTTGGAATCTGCTGTTAGCACTGGAGTGTTGTGATAGCTGAAGATACTCAGTGACAGGATAAAGTGAATTATGAGAGCCCTGGGCCCCATGGTGAGAGCTACGTGGCAGGACAGAGTGACCCATCTGAATGAGGTCCTGTGGCCCCTGCCGCTGCTGTGTTCTTACCGTTCCCCCACCCCACCCCAGCCGTGAATTAAAAATACGAGTTTGGTTTTGTTTAAAGAAAGACTGGGTAGTAGTCATTTTTAAACGCGTGCTTCCCATGTACCTGGTGATCTTTCGGCTGCAGTAAGCCAACCTACCTGATGGCTACGTTAGAAACTGAGGCAGGTTTGATGAAAGTGTGTTTTCCAGTTCCATCTCTTAACCATGGTTTTTCTCCCTCTTTTGCACCCTCTCCTGCCCCTGCCGGCCAGCCCCACATGTGTTGTCTCCTACTGGAGCTACCCTGGGCCGTACCCCCTCATCCCATCCCCTGTGCTCCCACAAACATGCATGGCACACGCACACACACACACGTGCACACACACACAATTGGGATCTCATAAACACATCACTTAGCAATTCGATATTTTTCACTTGTGGTCCTTCCTCTGGGACCTGTTAATAATTACCTACTATTCGGTGATGTGAATGCGCCTCAACTTATATAAATCCCCCCCCCCCCGCCGCCATGGATGAGCATTCAGCTCCACCCCCACCCCTTGGGGCGCTATGCACCACGTTGCCTTAACCCTCCTGGCGAACATCTCTTTCCATGGTAGTGCTTTGATTTTTGTAGCTTTAATGAACAACCCCTGATTCTCACCTATGGAACCACAACAGGTGGTTTAGGAATACTATACACTGGTGTATACGCACAGATCATACACACTGGGGTCACTTTCCGGCTGGCCACACAGGAGCCCTCTCTAAGACAAAAAGGAGTACAGTCCTTCTGGACTTCGCTGTATCTACCTAAAAATACGCCGAGTTAACGGTATAGCAGGGTGTGAGCGAATCTTGGAGAATCTGTGATAGTACCAAACTGTTTATCGTCTTTAAAAGCAGATTGAAACTTTCACAGTTTACACATAATTGATTGCTCCGTCTTAATGAAATAAACGGGGCCACTAGGATAGGCTGTTTGGCAATGCAAGACACAATCGTCTCTTCCGATGGAAAGCTGGGAAATTTAGTTAAATTAGCTGACTAGCAGTTGATAACTTGTCTCTTGATTAATTAACTTGCCTCTTGAGGTCCTATGGATCGCACATGTGAACACACACGCACTCACTCACTCACTCAGCAGTAGAAACCTGATTTCGGCTCCAGGGCTGGGTCTCGTGCATGATGTGCCTGGAGAAGCTGAGTCCTGCCTCCTCCCCTGCTGCGGGTGGTGAGAGCAGTGCAATGGGTCACAAATGCAGTTGTTGGCATACATTGTTCTCCATGGTCATTTAGAAGGAAGTCTATAAAGGAAAAAGATTTTAATAACGCCATCTCATGTAAATGGAGCTAGATTATAGGTTGCCAGTTCAATTCTCAATAGAAGGTAAAATGAGGCTATTAATCAAAATCGGTGTTCTCTACTGCACTCTTAGTTTCCAGAAACTGATTAGTCCCATTAACTGGATCTGTGAGAGGAAGCTGGTACGGGAAGTCCTAACTGCTTTTAGATTTGATTCTGAGATTAACCATGGCACGTCCAGGTTCTTGTAGTTTATGATGTCTCCCCATAAATACCCTTTCCAGGGATTCTGTCACTTTAATACTACCCTGATGGCTTCCAGAACAGAGTTTTCTGAGTGTGTATCTGATTTCCTCTCCCAAAACTTAACTCAGTGGGGAGGAGGAAAATCTGCAGATTCCATGCAGTATTCCATTTAGCCCAAGCATTTTGGGTCATCATATAAGCAACGGTAGGTCAAAGAGTGATAGCATATACTCTGCCAAAAATATGAACTGACCACTTAGGTTACATGGTGGGTTCTGACTTAGTTCAGCAGAGTCCAGTTTTTGTAGTGCCTGGATAAAAAGTAGCCAAGAAATAGCTCTTTTGGATTGGTGCCTTAGCGAGCGAAGGAGGGAGGTGAGAGCTTGAGGCTATAGATGAATTCATCTGTCTTTGGTACTCAAAGAAGGATCAAGTCTGCATGTTGTTGTCACTTCCGCTCTTGTGGACCCACACCTAGATCCAGAACGCTTATGGTCTCACAGTCTTGGAATTAACATTTAAGGGCCTTCAGGACTTCATCTGGAAAAATGTCGAGAAAATGGTTACTGTAGTTTTAGCAGAAAGTCCTCTTACAAATAATCTTGCATTGCATTGTAAACATGTTTTAGGAATAACCATTGAGGCAGCTGCTTCGTGACTCAGTTTTTCTCTGGAATCCGCTCTCAAGCTTGTGGAGTAGAATATTGAGCCTCGGGAACTGCAGTCCCCAAATTAATGGCAGTGTCGTTGAGTGCACTTTCCAGTTCATGATCCTGCAGAGGCCCCGGGGGCCCTCCGACTGGGACCCTCCTTGCCAAGGCACAGTGTCGCCAGTGAACGGGAAAGATAGGATGTGCACACAGAGGCATTGGGCTCAGACGTCCATCTCCTTTTCCATGAATCCCTGAAACATCCTCGCTGGTCCCATGTTTCTCCGCCCAGACCGCATTTCTCAGACTGCTTCCTGCGAGCAGAAGTGTCTCGGGAATCCTTTTGCGGTCTAATTTGGACAATCCAGATGCAGTCACTTTATACTGGACGTGTCTCTAAACCCAGAAACTGCATGTGCTTCTTTCACCCTTTTAAAGAGAGACACTGCATGGGAGGACGTGGGTACACAGCCTCGGTTCTCAGGATCCCCTGGAATTCTGTCCTCAGATTGCCCAGTGACTTCCTGACTGGGGCAGCTGCGCTGTCCTGGTGACTTTAGGAATTAGGACAGCATCTCCATGGCAGCTATCTTGAGGGGGAAAAAAGTGTTCAGAGCATCCCTCTTTTGGTAACCTTTGACAACTTGAAATACCTTTAAGCTCTATGTGGTTTGACAGTAAAATCTAGTAATGGAAACAGATTGTATGTTTCTCGTAGGATCATGTTAGCAACAGCCCTTTATGTTTAAGACTTCAGGGCTTTACAACGGACCTCTGTAAGATTTTGGGCCTCATGGCTGTGTGGGGTTCATCTCACGGTAGATTGGAAGCTATTGGAAATCAGTTGCCTTTTTTCCAGACACTAATGTTGGTACAAGTGAAATTAAATTACGTGGTCTAGAACAAGTAATTCTCTGCGTGTACATTACTTTATTAAACTGATCAGAAAGCAAATGCAGGATATTAAATAATAATGATTTCTTACACAAACAGCCATCAGTGGCCTATGCACACACCACGCCGGGCCTACCTTCAGGCTGGGAAGAAAGAAAAGATGCTAAGGGACGCACATACTATGTCAATCATAACAATCGAACCACAACTTGGACTCGACCTATCATGCAGGTATGCAGATCACCCTAAAATCACTTAAAATCACAGGCCGTAGAAGCCAGCGTGTACATGAGCTCGCTGTTCCCGGTGTGAATGTATTGTTCTAAAGAACCCATGTTTAAGAAAACTTTTCTCACAAAGAAAACATGTGACTCTAAGTCTAATACTTGCCTGAGGAAGAATTCGGTCCTCCAGTCCGTCCATCCCTAGATGCGGTTTTAAAGTAGGACACGAAAGATACTGTCAGAGTGCCTGTCACAGTGTGTAGCTTCTCTCCCAGCCCCCTTTATTCCCAAGGCTAGTTTTTATGCTGGGCTTAGTGATTCATTTCTACTTCCTTTTGAATGTGTTCCTCCATCCTTGCCCCCATTATTATGTTTAATCATTTCCTCCACGCCTGAAATAGGCCAGACCTCTTATTAGTGCTGGCTGCGTTGTTGTTTGGGTCCACGCTCCTAATCACATGCACAGGGGGATCCTCCCATGAAGCTAACTTGTTTTTGCCTCCAAAATAGCTCGCCGAAGACGGTGCATCCGGATCCGCCACAAACAGTAACAACCACCTAATCGAGCCTCAGATCCGCCGGCCCCGTAGCCTCAGCTCGCCGACTGTAACCTTATCTGCCCCACTGGAGGTGAGAAGGCTGCCTCATCCTCTAACCGGGTCGCTCTCTCCCGGGACTTCTCATTCTCCTTGCTCATCTCACTTGGGTTTGAGTTTTGCAGCCCCCATCCTCTCTGATCAGTCGTGGTGTCCGTGGTGCAGGGCGCTCTCATGCAGTCTTCCCTCATCTTACTTCATGCTTCTCTGTGCCGCCCGGCTCACCCCCGTGGCCTCCCACCGGAGTCCCGTTCTCATTCGGCTGCCGCCACAGGTCCTTGTGCTGGAAGGGGACACCTCTCTCCCGAACTGTCTCCACTCTCGTTGTGTTTCGCTCTTGACTGCATAAATAACTCTCTCAAATACCAATGCTTACATTGCCTTTTAAGACAGCTGTTGCTTTGATCATTTTTTTTTTTCTCGACTGTAGGGCCTGTCATTGTATGAGCACACTCACATCTCGAAGCCATTGTGGGGCATCTGCTTGTGCACTCTCCTGTTTGTGTTGGTGCCATCCCTTCACATCACAAATGTCTGAGTTAGAGAAGCCAGAGAGCGAATGTTTGAAGTTCTGAACTTGACCGTGTCTTAGAGCTAGCCGCGGGCCGGATCCCGGGGCTCCCGGTGCTGATGACCGGGAGTGGCTGTGACCACTTCCGAACTGGGATGTGAATGCCATGGGTAGCAGCCGTGCTAGTCCCTGGGTACAGGGTTTTCTTTCTCTGCTCTCAAAATTGCCAACCCCTTCTTCATTAGACTGTGAGCTCATTAAGAGCAGGGGCGTGTGTTCCTCCACCCTCTGTAAAATACCATCTATCACGTTCAACACAGAGCAGTGTTTTGGGTGTGTACTGAATAGCTATCCACGGACCTTGGTTATAAGTACTTGATATGTTCATGTGTTCAACCAGCCGAGAAACTTTGAAAGTTAGATTGGTTGCAAAGTAAATGGATGACAGAAACGGGTTTCAGGAGCCTCTCTCCCTTGTGCCTCTCCAGAGAGGAGCGTTCCTTGTGTACCCAGGTTCATTTTGATACCTCCACAGTAGCACCTGGTAAGAGTTCTAACGCTCATTGTTATTCCTTAGGGTGCCAAGGATTCGCCCATACGCCGGGCTGTGAAAGATACCCTTTCCAACCCACAGTCCCCACAGCCATCACCTTACAACTCCCCCAAACCACAACACAAAGTCACACAGAGCTTCCTGCCGCCCGGCTGGGAAATGAGGATAGCACCCAACGGTCGGCCCTTCTTCATTGACCATAACACAAAGACTACGACGTGGGTAAGGCTGCCGCTTTTATTTGGTTCCATTTTTGTCATGAGGTCTGCCATTGATTCCTGCATTTCCTTACTCAGGAGCCCTGGTTCTTGGAGGGAAATTTCCCTGACCCCGAAGCATGGCCCCAAGGGGGCCTTCTCAGTCTACATCTGGACTCTGCACGTGTGGGCCAGTGGGGGGGGCGGGGTCCACGGGGAGGGGGCTTCTGGGCGCAGGCTTGTGGCTGCCTGTGGGATTGGTGCCAGGCTAGGCGTCTTTCCTTCATAGGACTCCTGGAAAGCTCTAGTTCTGACTCTTTACCATATTGAGGAGAAAGGTGTCGTGCTCCCCAGGGCCAGGAATTTGATGTCACGGCTTCATTTCCCATGATGCTGTAATTTTATTAGGAGCTCTAATCTTTTTTTAATCATTGCTTCTTATCAGTTTCTTTCTGCATTTCTGTTGACACGATCACCTTGATTGGATGTGTCCTGTCAGTCTTCGTGGTTCACATCAGATTCGTGTTTTATACTCCTGTGCTCTGTCTCGTTCCTTTGTTGGGGGTTAAGAGATGTACTGAGGACTTTGGTTGTGAATTTGATGGCTCTTTTTGGTGAACGTTTTGTCAAAATTGGTTTTTCTGATCATGTCACTCTCCCATGTGCCCTTGAATCCTGCAGGAGAGAGAATGTGTTGTATTAACGAACACGATGAGATGAATCAGAGGTGCATATGCATATCTCTGTATGCCTCAGTCCATCCTTCATTCCTTCAGCGGACTCCATGGTGTCTTATTTAACGTAGCCTCTAGTTGTTCTTTAGAAGTCAGTGGTATATTTCTATTATGTTGATCTCTAGACCTGTGATTAAACCAAACTTGGCGTTCTTGTTTCTATTTCTGATGCTACAGGAGGTTTTGCTCTTCTTCCTGTCCCTTGGATCCCTGTGTAATTCTCCGGGTATGGAGCGTAGCTCTGTCCTCTGTCCTCTGTGCCGCTGGCCTAGAACGGACGGTGTGTGAAAGCTGGTTGAGTTTGGGTGATGGTCGCTGGCCCAGCCACACAATCTTAGGCTACCAGTGAGCACGTGCTTTAAATTCCCATTTCTAGTAAAGACCCCCAAGTGTGTACAGTTGATAGGATAGTAGTATTGTGTCAGGAAAGAGGCCTGCACCAAAGTGGCCTAGATTGCTGCTCACACTTTGCCCATGGTGTATGTTCACTGAGTCCCTAAAGGGCTCACTCTCTAAAATCTCTAAAATCCAGTGGATCGTGAAGCAGCATGTCTCCACGAGAACATTCTCTGCATTTGGGGTAGGACCATGCCTTTCTCCACCAAAGGCTAATAGCCACCATTCCCCGCGCCCCCCCCCCCCCCCCCCCCCGCCACAGGGATAACCAAAAATGCCCCCACACAGCCTAAACACTCCTTATTGAGAACCACTCTAAAAGTTCTTCCTCTTCAGAGGTAAGGGGGTAGCCTGCCAGGGGAATTCCTTCTTGAGATCTGGTGACATTTCATTTAGCAGCCTCATAACTGCTGCTAAGGCACGTGCTAGCATGTTGCTTTGTTCGACGCGCCTTTTTGCCCGAAGATGGTATTACAGGACTGTGGACAAGTTGAGAATGAAAGATAGGCAGCTCTTTGGAAAAGACAGTCCTAGAGATTGGTTTTTAGGTCTTTTTTTCCTCATGGCTGTGGAACCTGGGGCAGTCCTGCTGTGCTTTCCGGCCCTGAGCCAGAAATGGGAGCTCCAGAAATAGGGTAACTGTTGTCAGAGGGGATGGATTAGCGTACGGAGCCACTGCGGCTTGCCCGCATAAGCTGTGATTGGAGTCATTTGAACCAGCTTAGCAGTCAGGTCTCCTAACCTTTTCGTCGTCGTTCAGGCCACAAGTGCAGTGTAAATACAGCTGGGCAGGTTTTATTTTAAACCGCACCAGCTTTATTTATTCCCTGCATCGTTGCTGAATGAAACCCAGTTTGAATTTCCAGTTGCCCCTTTCCACCCAGATCCTTACTGTTGACTCGTGTACTCATTTAACATTTTAATGTGTTAAACCGGTATTTTGTTGCTGCTGTTGAAAACCCTTAAGGTAACAACTGGAAATTCCACCAGTGACTACGCTTCCTTGCTCAGCTCAGATGTGCTGGGCCAGCTACGTCACCCCTTCTAGACAGGGGCCGCTACAGAATGCTCTCCGTGGAAGGCACGCTCTAAAGGGCCTCTTTATTTCGATAAAGGGTGGAGGGAAGGGTAAAGACCATTTTCAGCTTAGAATCTGTTTGGAGCTGGTATGGGGTTCGCGCTGTGTGTGTGTGTGTGTGTGTGTGTGTGTGTGTGTGTTTTAAAGCAAACAGCATAGCTATTCTTAGAATGAGCTTTATAATGGAAACAGGAAGAGAAACTGGTAGGACGGGTTGAGAATAATGAAAATACTCATCTTGCCTCTGTCAGTGTGTGTGCTCTTGCTTCCTACATTTAGCTAGCAGCATGAAAAGATACGGGCCGACAATTCCCTTATATACACTGATAGGGGCCGATTCCCTTTGAAGTCTATTTATAACACACAGCCTTTCACACACCCGAGTAATGCACGAAGTGTGCCAGCACTCTATCCAGGATAAAGTCAGACCACATCCAGGGAGCATCCGCCTGTCCCCACCTGGGTCAGCAGGGCCAAGGATGCATGCTGGAGGCCTCCACGTGCCTGAGGGCAGATGACAAGAGGCCTTTGGGTTGCCCATTTTTCCTGCTAAGGAAGCAGCCGGAAGCGTATATGTAAGAGTGTATTTATATCTTCTCCAGGACAAAGCATTGGCTTCTTTTTGTAGCAAGAAAGACTATGCCTTCATTAAGTGGCAGGTTTGTTTTCTACCCAGGTCCAAACTAATAAAACTCTTGTAGCCGAGGCATGGTTGTTGACTTCTTCCAGGAAGGAAAAACCACAGCTGTTTCTTTGAACCAGCCAGCATTCCCATATTTTATATATTTCTAAAACTCTGCTAGGAAACTTTTCTTTTTTAAGATGTTCATCTTTGCCTTCTGTTCAAAAATTCTTCCAACCATATTGAGGGAAGCAGTTGTGAAATGGTGCAAGAATGTGCTCGTGGTGCTTGAGGACAGGGAGAAACTCCCACATGGGTTTTGCATATTTTGTTCATTTATATTCATGTTAATTTCTGTCGTTTGAAACATCATTAGTATTTCCGCTTATTGTCATCCTGAACGTTGTCATGAGTCTTGTGGGGCTTGCCTTCACCTGCTCCACCAGCTGGGGGGGTGGGGGGTCCCTGCCACCTCGATAGTTCAGGAGACTCACTGTGGGGGTGGGCTCAGTAGTGCCCTCTCGGTTGACTGCCATTATTTTGACTTCTGATGGTATAATAAAATAATAGGACCCCAAGGGCCTCCAGCCCTCTCACATTCTACGAATTCCAGGGTTCCATGCCAGGCCATTTTAGCAGACCTGTAAAATTGAGTTTTCTACTTCATGCTCCTCGTCCCCACATGCTGGCACTTCTCTGTAACTTCAGCTGCTGCTTTTCTGTGTGTGTTCTTGAAATCACCAGCTTTTTACTGATTGTCTTTCGCAGTAGCCCGTGCATATGATTCCACGGCTGGTCTTGCATGCAGCATCCGGAAGCTAGCATGGTCAATGGCTGGGGTACCCGGGGGGCCCTGTGGTTGTGGCATCACCAGGTCCAGCTCAGAGCTAGCTCTCAGTAGGGTGCTCCCAAGTTTTTCCTCTGTCCACAATCAACCTGTCACAAATACTTACCCAGTTAATCAGCTTATTGGACCTTATAAATCCAAAATCTTAGTGGGTCCGTTTACTGCACTGTTTGTGTTCCAGTATACGACAGAATACTGGACCTATTTTATTCCTCTGATTACCCTTCAAAAAGGATATCAGTAAGGTTCAGGTTCAATATCTATCATAAACTGCTCACACAATTTATTTCTTCCGTTAATGGTTTGCTCTAGTTAACAGAAAGCCAAGGTTGATTTTATTTTTTGATTTTGGAGGGTTTTTTTTGTAGACATTGCCAGTTCCAAAAATCTGTCATTTTGTTATAATCCAGTGATACTAACAGCTTACACTGTTGACTTGGGAAATTTTTTTAACAGCTTTCTTGGAGTATAAGTCACATGTCCTACAGTTCACCTGTTTAAGATACACGAGTGGTTTTTATTAGACCATTAAATAAACATGTTGCAACCATCACTAATCAGTTTGAGAGCATTTTCATACCTATTAGCTGTCACAAAGTGAGTTTTATTATTGTCCAAGGTTTGTACCAATTATTTCATTTTCTTGTTGCCTTGGGAAAATGGTGAGGCAGAAAACCTTTTAGTGATCTGACAGCAGCAAAGTCTTTCATGTAATTGAAATAAAGTGGTTTTTTTTTTAATCTTAGGCTTCTTATTTGGTTGACAATGTGCTTTTCTCTGTTTTATCATTTGTTTCCTAATCTTTTGAGTTTAAAATGTGAATTCTGTAAGTTCCATTGCATTTTCGTTGGGTCTGTGTATGTGAGAGGGCACTCCCAGGTGCTCCCAGACTCTGGGTGAGAGCTCTCGGGCAAGTTCTTGTGGTCTTGGCAGCTCAATGTCCTCATCTAAAGAAGCAGAGATCGTGTGCACAGCCTCCTAACAGGGCCGTTGCAAGATGAGACATCTGCCTGTTTTTTGTCAATTGTAAAGCATGACCCAAGATGCCAGAGCACGTATTTCCTTTTGTTGGTTCTTTGTAGTATCTTGTGAGCCATACCCCTTAAGAGAAGTCCTTGGCAAACTTCTAAGTATTGAGACATAAATGAGAATCTCATTTGCAGAACTTGATCAGGAATCTCAGTAAAGTTCTCTAGTGAGGGGTAGGAGACGTTATGTGACGAGGCCACCGAACTCTGGCGAGGACACACTTGACCCTCAGATCAGATTCACATCCTCTCCTGGAGATCAGGGAGTGGAAGGGCACAGCAGGAAGCTCAGGCCCTATGCAATGGCTGGCTGCCCTCACCCACAGCTCAGTAGCCAAGAGAGACTTACGAACCATCCTCCCCACCCCTCTGCAAAACAGAGCCTCATCTTCTCCGGCACCCTCTATTCTGGTTTCCATAGTAACTTCCCTGCTGGGACTCTCTTCCTCTTCACCTGCTAGAGGTCTCGCGGAAAACACTTCACCTGTTATTTAAAGCTGTTCTGCCTTCACCAAGGACAAGGAGAAGAGTAAAATCTTGCTTGAGAGCTGGTCGGCCAGCGTTCCTGTACAAAGAGAGGTCCTCTCCTCCCCCGTGCAGGCCGGTGTGCGGCTTGGACTGCGATGCTCCGGAAGGGGAGAAGCCAATGACGTCACATACAGAGTCACTCTTAATGTCCTCTGCCTTCTACGTTTTCTTGCAGGAAGATCCACGCCTGAAATTTCCAGTGCATATGCGGTCAAAGGCATCTTTAAACCCCAATGACCTCGGCCCTCTTCCTGTGAGTACACTGCAGATGCAGGGACAGGTCTGAAAATGTTTATCCATTCATCTGCCCTGTGTGGAGGGAGATACTCTGTGGGCCTTCTCTTTCTCCAGGCTATTTTGGATCCCATTGGTCTGTAATCTCTTCATAGAATTAGGTGCATGGCTGAATTCTAATAGTACATACAGCTGATGCCCCATACTTGTGAAAGAGTTTTCTGAGTTGTTAGCGGCTAGGAGAAGGTAGACCTTGTAACTAGGATGTAAGAGGCATTCTCCACATGTGATAGGTTAGGCAGCACGCATTTATTTTGTAACTTTGCAACCACTGCGTTCCATCCATATTGCTAATTCAGTCACTGGAACAGAAATATTAAAAACAGTGGGAGAAAAAGGCCGAAGTGATCACAGGTGGTTTCTGTAAGTCATTAGCCTGCAGATACTTTAAGTTTTTTGCCCTTGTTGAGGACTGTTTATAAAATTTAATTTTTCATCGGTTTATTCTCTTCGGGGAGTTGAACTCTATTTACTCCATATTAGATTTTGAATGAAACTCACCATACATCCTTCTCAGCCGCCTCCCCCCAAATCAAACAGCCTTACAAGGGCAGGAAGGTAGGGAGATTCAGGACTCTTGTAGAATGGAAGGGTGCTGGGAGTTCTGCTGAGGGGATTTTCCAAACTCAAGAACCTCTCTGTTGCCTGGTGTGTGGTATGTGATGGCACAACTTGAATCTAGGAAGGTTAGGGTTCAGTCTTCATTCGTCAGGTTTTACACAAGTATCCCTCCCTCTCCAGAACTGTTTGGTTCCTGGGTTGAGATGGAGATGGAAAGAGCCCAGAGAGTGCCAGAGACCGAGATTAGACGTGAAAGATCACGGGCTGTCCTCATGTGTTGGATTCCTGAGTTTCAGATAGCAAGTAGGCACCGTTCATATAATGAGGGCATACCAGCTTTACGTTGGAAAAAAAAAATACCCAAATCCGTCTATTCCCTGAGTCCAAAGAGTGAGAGCCCACACCAGAGAATCTCAGGGTTAGGTCATTCAGCCACGTGGTGGCAGGACTAAAGCATCTGTCTCTTGACGTTTTTAAATTAACCTCCCTCCTCCCTTCAGTACTTGGTAAATATTTAATTAAATGAGCTGTTCAGTCCTAAACTCAAATATTCCATGGAATGCTGGAGTTGCCCTTTGAAGCTTTTGAAGTAGCAAGCCCTGCTTCCTGTTCATCATACAGTGAGTGAAGGGCTCCTAAGGCTGGCGAACATGTGATACAGTGTGTTGCTATATGTTGTCATTAACTTGAAATGTTTGTGGCTTGTTCTTAATGTGACAATGTACCCTAAAAGAGTCAAAAAGTGTCCTTAGAGTGTTTAAATTTAGCCATTTATTTTTTATTTTTAATTTTTTTTGGAACTGTTAGCTAATGTTTGTATTCTCTCTTTTTCTTCTAATACCAGCCTGGTTGGGAAGAAAGAATTCACTTGGATGGCCGAACGTTCTATATTGACCATAGTAAGTAGGTTTTTTTGTAGATACACAGGCATTGCAGGTAAAGGGATGGGGGGGACAGGGAATCATTCAAATATTATAGTGAAAGCTTTATCATTTTACTCTTTGTCCAGGCAGCCAGGTGTTATGTGGAGAGCATGAGGCCAGAGAATCAGTGCCCTCGTACGGTACTGTGCATTCATCCCAAGTTTGCTTGAAAGGAGCCCACCAAGCTTTTACCCGATTTGATCTTGTGACCTATTAACTTTTTTTCCCCCTTCATTAAAAAAATTTTTTGGGTCGATAACCCCTTGATTTCTGCGCTTTTAATAAATACACTGTAGTAATAGAAAATAAGGTTAGAAGTTATAATTGAGTCAAAAATCTATGTGTGAGCAGTGCTTGAAGCAGCATGTTAAACACTGCCGTCAAGGGTCTTATGGCAAGAAGCCCGTTCTGACTTATTTTCTATTCATAGCATGTGTCTTTGCACCCAGCACACTAATCTATATGGAGTTCGTGTCTTGAAATTACAGTATAGTTGCTCCAGCACCTATGAATAAATGTGTGGTTTCTCATTTCAACTAAAAGTTAAACTGATAAAGGTATTGCTTTTAGCTAGGTTGTTTTTTTTTTTTAAGGCAACATGTTCTCCATGGGAACATATTTGTATATCCCTTAGAACTTCTGAAAAATGTATATTTAAAAGAAGTTTGCAAGTGTGTGCAATTGGTAGTATTTTGATCTTTGTTTTCATTTGGTTCCTAAAGATTAGCAAGTCTGCCCCATGTTTCTCCAGCCTTACATTCTCTTAACTAATCAAAAGCCCACCGATGAGCCAATTGTGGGGAATGGGCTGCGCTTTGGTTAAAATTCGGTAATTCACAGTACTTAGGTTTAGTTCTGTCTTTGACCAGTAAAACTACTGAGGGTTTGCCTGCTGTCCAGAACTTTACAGTGAGCCTAAAATTGCTACCATAAATGCTATAAAATGTGTGTACCCCCACTTTTTTCTCTGATAATGCTATTTGTAATTCTCATAGCATAATTTGTTGAAGGGAAGGGGGCACACACCTTTTTCCCACCAAGAACAAAAAACAATTCCTCTTTTAGTTTTTACGCTTTACAATTTCAGTTTCCAAAGGTAGGTACGAGTAATAATGATCTTTTTCTTAAAACGAGGTCTTAACCAGTAACACAGCCTTGGTCTGCTACACACAGAATATTTCACACAGCATTGTGGCCATGTTCTGGCTGGTGATCTGATGTTAGGTCAGCCTGAAAAGAATCTCATGAATGTTCTTAATGGAAGGGTCCCAAAACAAGAAAAACTCTTACCACCAATAAAGTCCATCCCAGTGTATGTTAGAAATAATAAAGATCATAGATTATTTTTCTCGTGGTGTGCGTACACCTAGTATAATACAGAGTAGATGCTTGATAAACGATGACTTGAAGTTAATTCGTGGAGGGTCAGTGGTGAAGGCGTGAGGAAGGTCATGTCCTTGGTTGGAAAGTGGAGAGAACTCGTCTTGGAGAAGCAGCAACGATGCCCGCCCCAGGCTTCCCCTGCTTCTGTTCGTTGGGAGGCAGGAGACATGTTAGTTTTGCTAAATGGGCTGTTCCTTATTCAAGCCGCCAGTCCCTCCAAGTGCTCAGCTCACTCCCTTCCCACTCCTTTTGCCAGAACGGATAGCTTACAGACGTCATGTCAGAAGAGATCAGGTGTTGACATTGATCAAATAGCTCCTATCTCGACCCTGGAGTAAAAGGTTAAGGGAAGATCTTGAACTGAATCGCTACCTCTCTTAGGGGTCATGTGGTGGTTCTTAAAGACCAGGTATGCCCCTCAGCTGTGAGTCAGTGGCCACAGGTGTCTCAGATGAAAGCTAGAAGAGAAAATAAAATTCCAGTGAGGCTGTAAAATCCTATTTTCGTCTTTCTTGCCAGCAGTCTTACCAAACCTGTTAAAGTAGCTAAATTAACTTGAGTTTCTCATTCTTCTCCTTCATTCTTGTCCCTTTATTTCAAATACAATGTCTGAGGACAAAAAACAAGTTTAGATTCAGAAGTTCTGGAAAAAGTGAGTAAATGGCCACTACACATTCATATCCTGTATTGACGATACTTAGCTGTAAAACCAATCTGCATTGTAACCACATAGAGACTTGGGAGCCCCAGGAGGTCTTTGCAGTGTTGGGTAGAGGAATGAACCAGCTTTGAAGAAGCAGAACAGGTGAGGACCACACTTGCTCGCCACGTGGCCGGGTGTCAGGGCTGGGGGCTGCCTGCAAAAGGACCTTAGGAACAGATTACTTTTCGGATGGATCCCAAGTGATAAGTCACATTTATGCAGGAAAGCCCGAGGAGAGCAACCCCAGGAGGGAGAAAACATACAGATGTATGAAGGTGTGTGGACTGGGCCACAGTCTGAGACCTGCGGTGGGGCTGCAAATGGCCAGGGCACAGAGGAGGCACATAGGTCAAAGGGCATCCGCCAGGGGTGGAAACACGAGTCTCTTCTGCAGGCAGGAGGGAGGTCCTGAAGGTTTTTCTGGAGGGGCCTGACTGGTCAGATTTGTTCTTTAGAAAGATCCTTGTGGCAGAACTGCAAAGGAAGGCTTGAACTGGGATGAGTGAGCCCGAGGCCAGGGAAAGAGAGGGCACAGTCCACGGAAGCGATGCACCCTCCTGAAAGCAGCTTCCTCAGTGAGACGGGGAACAGCATGGCGGGAGCCAGAGGAGAATGGCTAGGGAGAATAGGGATGTAGTCAGTGCTGGGTTTGAACAGCGAGGGCGCTATGACACGGGCATTTGGGAGTAGAGGAACACGGGAACGGGTTTTGTTCCTGAAAGATTGTGGGTTTGGTTTTGGTAAGAGTTGGATTTGAGGTCGCCATGGGAAATGTGGTTGCACGTGTCAAGGGTGGAACTGGACAGACTATGTGGGAGACGCCATGCGTAGGTAGTCATTAATTTACTTCTGCTTTGATGGTATCCAGGTGATGGGACTGTACTCCGGGGAGCTGTCACTCAGCTGTACTCTCTTTATTTGGTTTTCTTTTATTCTCCATCACAATGGCAACTTTTACTTTCCACATTTCTTACGCATGAGGTAAGGGGCCCAAAATGCCTTTTACTTCCATCACAGTTCTCTGAAACCATCGAAACATCTCACGTACATTTCCTGCCGACATGAATCTAGAATCAGGTGCTTCCGCTGTTGGATTTTAAAACTTGACCTCTACTTTCATTAAAATGATTATAATACCAGATTTGGAAAAATTCCTGGTATGGTCATTAAAACCAAATTTAATGGTTATTCTTACCAGTCTATTTACAGAGTACATAGGAAATAAGCAGAATCAATATTCTTAATTTCCTTTTTTTTTTTTTTTACCAACTTAGATTCCCTAAAACTCCAGAGAGAACCCATTCTCCCCCAGTCAGCCCTCCCCATACCCTCTCACGCAGATCCATCACTGCCTCCCACACGCACAGGAATCCCCGTGCACAGTCAGAAAAACCCACGTGATTCAGGGTGCCCGTGGCACCGTACCACCTACACCACTGGAGTAATTGTATAGGCGGCGTTGAACAGTCTTGCTGACACGGACTCATTTAGAAGAAAGAACACACTTCTCGCCATCTTGACCAAAAGGGAGACCCTTCTCTGTCCTCTTTGCTCTATCTAATGCTCATTTTTTGGGACTCCTTAGCAGCTCTGATTTTTGCGTGCATATGAGTGACACGTATAATGGATTATTCATTTGTCCAGTGTAGGATTCTTAGTTGAAACCAGTTTTTCAACGCCATAAGCAAAGAAAAAAGTATTTGAAATGAGAAAAATCGTGTGTGTGTGTTAACTTTTTAGGGACTAAGACTTGTTATGCCTTTTTTCAGTTAAAGGAAAATCAAGATCAAATTATAAATCCTTGAAAGAACAGGGGTTTATAATTGAAATTTTGGCAGATTTTCTTGCCAAAAACAGTGTGAATAGATGGTTTGGCTTTAGTCGTGCATTTTTGATTGAGTGTTTTTAACTAAACAGTATGGGCAGGGGGGCTGGCATATAGAATAGGGTGCTCTTCTAACCCTGCCATACTAAGTTATCTATTTTGGGGGACAGCTTTTGAAAAAAATCCAGAAATAATTCTTTTGAAAACATTTTTGACACAGAATAGATTTGAACTAATATGCTGATTTTTTTTTTTTTTTTTTTTTTAAACATTAATTTTCAGATAGCAAAATTACTCAGTGGGAAGACCCAAGACTGCAGAATCCAGCTATTACTGGTCCGGTCAGTATTCTCAAGTTTTAACTCTTCAGTGTAATATTTGGCTTGCATCTAAACATGTATTTCTTGAGTATTACTGCTTACCCGGTGCCAGGGGCCTGGTGTGGTTGGCTAGTTTAGAATCGCCCCCGTCTCTTCCTCACTGGAGTTCCTGGGTGGGATACAACTGCATTTGCCCTTTTGAAGGGCTTTCGCTGTAAAGGAAAAGAAAGTGCTTTGCTAATGGTAACAAACTAAACATTTTCTTTTCTCCTTTGTAAAAAGGTGGGTTAAAGGTAAAACAATCAAAATGTCCTCTCTTCCTTTTTATACCAAGCCAAGCCCTGTATCTGTAGCATTTTGTCATTTCTTTTGGCCAAGAGCGGTAAATGCATGCTAACAAATTTAAGCTGTATTCTGACTCTCTTCCAGCGTGGAACGTCTGGAAAAGTTTGGGGGAGGTTGTAGCCAGCCTCTGGAGCTGGCAGAGTTAAGAACTTTTGTCTCTGTTGACCCACTAACTTCCTCGCAGTCCCCACATATACGCCGGGTGCAAAAGGAAGCTAGGTAGAGCACCCTCTTAAAATACTGCCACACGCTGTGTTCATAAGGACTTGGTCCCGAATACCGCATGGGTCACAGTCATCGGCAGGGAATGTACCAGCCTCTCTGGTCACTGTTTATATGAGTGTGGGGAGCTAATTTGGAATTACAGGAAACATGGCATCAGCAAAGCATTGCAAACTTGGGAATCTGCTAAAAACTGGAGGAGCAAAAGGAAATAAAGCATATTGAATGCTGAGCTAAGAGGCCCTTAGGTATTTTTATAATACTGCTTTTGTGGCTTTAATCTGATTCCGTTCAAATTAGGTTTTGAATTACAAAGGTAAGTCTGTTTGAAAACTTAAAAGGTAATACCATGCAAACCTACCTTGATACTTGACATCCCCTTAGTTAATTTGTTGGATTTGTTTATTGGCTTTGTTCAGCTGCTTTGCTACTGTGTAACACAAAGTGCCCAATCATACCTCAGTTAAAACAGCTGCTTTTTATGTGACTTCAACACCTGCCTTACTACCATGGCTTCCTTTTGATATATTCACAATCACGATAAGGTGTTAGAGTCCTGTTTTCTCTTCTACATCATGGGAAACGTATTCAGGAATCAAGGCTGTTTTCAAGTGACAGAGGACTTTTGACATAATTCTGAAGCCTTTTGAAATATCTCTATCACTTATCGATCATCTACCTTCACTCAAACACTGTTAGTTCTTATTGCTATTGAAAATTGTTTAGCATCATAAATCCAAGTAAATTTGACCCAAAGAAAGATTTTTTTTTTTTTTTTTACACTAACGAAAGAGCCTTGTTTACTCTTTCCTTAGTAGTAGTAGGATACTTCTTTCAGGAAGAGCATGTGTATTTAGGTAATTATCCACTTAATGTAGACAGCTGGCTTTTGTTGTCATTCAGTTCTGAATATTTGGTAATTTCCATGATTTCTTTCTCTCCTTGACTTATAAGTTATTTAGAATGTGCTTTTCATTTCTAAGAGTATGGAAGGGTTTTTGCCTATCCATTTCTTACTAATTTTCTAATTTTACTGCTTTGTGGTCAGAGAATATTATCTATGGAATATTGATTACCAGATATTTGAAACTTCCTTGGCAGCTTGGCCATTTTTTATAAATGTTCCTTTTGTGTTTGAAAAGAATGTGTATTCTGTCTTTGTTGGGTATAGAGTTCTTTATATGTCCATTAAATCAAGCATATGGTGTTCAAATTATTCATTTCCATCACTGCTTTTTTTTTCCTGGCTGTTCTGTCTACCCAAGACAGTAGTGTCAGACTCTCTGATGGCAAGCATGGCTTTATCAGTCAAGTTACATTCACTTTTTCTTCTTAGTATTTGCCCGGTATGTCTTTTCTCCCACTCAATTAGCTGTATTTTTTCTCTTTTATTGCCTTCTATTAGATTAATAAAGTGCCCTTTATTTTCTTTCATTTTCTATATTTGCTTGGAAGTTGTATTTTCTATTTCTGTGCTTACATTAACATTTTTAACCAGCGTACTTCATGACAAAATTAATTGCTCTCTACTCTGCTCCTGAGCAAGATGGGACTTGAGGGAACTCTCATGCCATTCTTCCCACTTACTTTCCATTGTTCAGCAACGTTTTAAAACTTTCCAAACAGCCACTGATATTTTATCTTTGTTCTCAATGGCCAGTGCTTATTTCCTTCCCTCATATGTAGGCAGATTTCTTTGCCCACCATCGGTTCTTACACCTGCTGTTTCCAGGTTATCTTCTGAATGAAGTATGGTTCCAGATTCTCAGAATCTACAGATCGGCAGCATCAGAATCTGGAAACTTGTCAGAAGTGCAAATCTGGGAGTCCCAAGCCAGGCCTACTGAAAATCAGTAACGTTGGGGGTGGGCCCAGCAGTCTGTTTGGACACACCCTCCTGGGGGTGGTGAGACCCCCTGGAGCAGCACTGTCTGAGAGTGGGAAGCTCTTAGTCTGAGAAGAGAAAGCTTTTCTGACCTCTCCGTTAAATGACAGTTCAGCTCTGAAGCCTTGGCTAACAGTTATTTTCCTAATACTTTGGAGATCTTGTTTCTTGTCTTCTGGCCTCCACAACTGTTGAGAAGCTTGTTGTTGATTGGCATTTTTTTGATGGGTAAATCTTCTCTCTGGCAGTTTTGAATTTTCTCTGTGACTTTGGTGTTGTATAATTTTACTCTCATGAACCTAACTGTGGATTTCTTTATATTGATTCTGCTTTGGACTCATTGTAATCTTCAATATGAGGACCCTTTCTTCCCTCCATTCTGGAAGATTCTTGGCAGTTAGTTTTCATACTGTATCTTTGCCATTCTTCCTGGTTATCTGTACCAGTAATTCCTCCTGGGTGTGTGATTCACCTTTACCTTCTGTCTTCCTAATCTCTTAGTTTTCCAGTTTTCCATCTCTCTCTCTCACTCTCGGTCTCTCTCTCCCTCCCTCAATCTCTAGCTCTCTCCATTGCTGTATTGTGGGCTTAGCTCTTCCAGCTAATTCTTTTTTAAGCTTTTTATAACCTACCCTTTACCAGTTCATTGTGTCTGTTATTTCATTAACTGTGTTTAATTACTCATCGTTCTGTTGGGTCTTTTTAAATTTGCTTGGTCTTTTCAGTTAATGTTATTCTCTCATGTTCTTCCATTTTTTTTATTTTCTTTTTTAATTCATACTTAGCTCTCTAATCATTCTTAAAATGTTTATTTCATATCCTCTTTCAGATTATTCTGTTATCTCTGGCCATAGGGGCACTAAATCTCCCACATGTTGTGTCCGTAGACTCTCCTCAATGGTAGTTCAGTTTAGTTCAGTTTCTAATTTGTGTGTGCGCGCTCATCTTTTTTTTTTCTTTTTTTCTTTTCCTCCCCGCCCCCGCCCCTCCCCCCCATGAGGCATTTATAAGACCTGACCTGTATTTACCGTTAACTTCTTAGCTTGGGATCATGCAGGCCCAGTTAATATAACTGTGGACTTCATACCCACTTTGGTGTAGGCTTAGAGTATGAATTTATTACAGGTCTGTTTCTTTTTGTTTTTCTCTCGTTTGTGGTCCTGGACAGAAGGTAAGCTTCCTTACAACTTTCCTGGGCTGGCGGGTAGTTTTCTTGTCCCCATGTCAGATGTAGGTTTTAAGCAGGGAGCTCTGCTCTTACTGCCTAGGTCATACAGACTAGTAGGCCAACTTCCGTGTCCCCGTCTGTGGATTAAAACCCCAGCCCAAGCACCCAGTCTAGGTCCAATGCCCACTTCTTTAATTTTAAGTCTTTCTGCTTATCTGGAACCTCAGATTTCTCTTTTTCCCCCAAGTTTTAAAAAATACCCCAGAATCGGGGAGGGGGGTCCCTTTCTGTGGCCGCTCAGCGTTACTGTAAGTCAGTATGCCCTCTGTGTTACAAGCATCACCAGTGGAAGTGTTGATCCAGTGCTGTCCGTGCTTACTACTCTTATGAATACTGTCTCATGTTCGTGTCACGCTTTGTACTTGGCCGAGAACTTTATAATCAGCTGCTTTGAAAACTCCAAGCAGTCCCCTCAGGAAGGCAGGGAAGATGTTGTTGTTCCCAATTTGTCAGAAGTTCGGAAAACTAATTGTGTCACCCTTAGTTCCAGCAAATGCCAAAAGTCAAAGTGAAGCTGCAGGTGCACTGACCTCTCCCATGTCTCCGTGTCAGACGCGAGCCGTCCTCCGTAAGGAGCTCCGGCGCCGGATGGGCTAGAACGACCTGAAAACGTTCAGACCCGACTTCTCTAATACGTCAGCACGTCACTTGTGCTCAGAATAGAAAACCTATTTAAGAAAGAGCAAAGGGCTTGAATCAACAGACGTGTTAAGTTCTGGTGCAGGCTTTATTTTGTAAGTTCAGTTGTACGTAAGAAAATAAAATGCCAAATTTTCAAGAGAGAGTCAACAATCTGGCCCGTCCAGTACAAGACACGGACCACCCTTGGAAGTGTCTTCAGAGGCTCTGCGTTATGGATGTCTTTGTCCTGCTACGCTGTTGGCTTCTGTTGAGATTGTAAAAACCTCCTTATTCCACTTCTTATTCCTAAGAACTCTCTCTAGAGAGAGAAGATAAGTATTGGAGGAGGATCAGGATTTTTCCATTTTCATGCCTCGTTCCCCAGAAGAAGAAAGACCAGAAATATCTCAGTGTTTTATTTCCACCCACATGTAATCGGCACCTCCCAGTTAAAGTCAGACAGGAGAGTAGAGCGCACAGGCTGGGGGCAACATTTTAAAATATATCCCCTCCCCCTCCCCATCATTTAAGACTCTTGAACTTGTATTTTAAGCCTTTCTTCAACATTTTCGGGGGAGGGGGTGGACACAAAACCAAAAAATAATAGGCTGGGAATCACAGATTTTTGGAAATGGAAGAGCCTTGAAGTGCTTCTGGTCCATTTCTTCTTAACGTGAAGAAATTCTGTCGTCTGGAGGGTCCGTCAACACGGCTGACTGGCACGGAAGTCTGCCTTACAAGCCAGGTCCGCTGAAGCTGGCCTGAGATAGTGAAAGGACATTCAGCTTATGTTCCCTCTGTCACAGTTAAGCGTAGCTAAGAGCATCAGCCGAACGCTTTCCTTCTCGAGACTTTACACACACTGCTTTCTAGTGATTTATTCCCTCCTGTCACTCTGGGTTCGGCTCAGATGTCCCTTCCTCAGAGCTGTCCCTGACTGCTCGTATCATAGCCTGCCGAGAGCTCTCTCTCAGCTTTTCCTCAATACATTCACCACACATTCACCACTCTTCATTTATTTCCTACTGCCACTTGCACACAGTAGCTTGCAAGCCCCAGGAGGGAACAAGGGAAGAAATCTTTGGTTGATGTACCATTACTTCCCTACCACCTAAAATGCCTGGCGCACAGTAGGTGCTCAAGAAGTATCTGTTGAATGAATCAGCAGAGGAACCACCAAAGAGTGAATATGCAGGAAATCTTAGTTTGCGATGGGCTGTAGTGTTAGTGGAGCCAAAAACATGACATGGCTTATGTCAGAACATGGTATCCTTTCCCTCATTTTGGTGGTTGTCCAGATATTGGCAAAATTTCTACATTTCCTAGAATAAGGATTCATACATGGTATCATCAGACTAAACACGGCCCCAAATAAATATGATATGTGGTCAAATCTAGTGCTCAATGGAAAATCAAATGAAGAATGGCTTAAAAACTAAGAGCAGACCCGAGGTACCCATAGTAGAATGTTCTTCGGATATATAAACGCATTGTCTTTATTGTTCTTGAATTACAAAGCAAAACACTGACATGATTGTTTTCTATAAGAGTGGTTATTTTTGTTTTGGCTTACTGTTTGTGTGATTGTGTCTTAAAATAGTATGAAGGAGGGAAGCTTTGGTTCCTCACTTCTCCTCTTTCTGAAAGTTTAAGGTGGTGTTAGGTTTGGAGTCTGGAGACACTTTACTAAGGATCAGTATATTTTGTTAACTTAGCCCAAAATGATATCAGCAGAACTGTTCTTGCCCAAATTCATACTATTTGTGAAAAAGCAACAAGTTTTTCTGAGTATGAGGCTGTCCCCGTTGTGTCCATGTGTGTGCAAAAGCCAATCTTCTCTGCTTCATAAAAAAATTAGAAGCCTTTTCAGTAGCCTGAAGTCAGGGCTCCGGCTCTCAGATATTGTAAGCTACTTTACAACATAGCAAGTTAAGAATATAAATGACTACATTAAAAGGTTATTACTTCTCCAGGAGAGATTCCAGAACTTTTGGGTAATGAAAGCTAACTCAGTTACCGAACCCACACCTTTGGTACCATCACTCTGCTTCCTAGATAAGCCATTCCAGATTTAAAGAAATCCCTGCCCAAGACTACTAACTAGTAAGAGGCAAACCTTCTGACTCCTAAATCGAAGATGTTTCCAGAATGCTATTTACCTGATTGTATATTCCTTGATAAGAGTATCAGTTCACTGGCCTTGTTATTTTATTTCCTCCCCATGGTTTTTAAAAGCATGAAGAGTCTTTTCAAAATGACCACATAGGTCATTTTGGGTTTTGTGTTAAAGAATCATAGCCAGTAACTTTTATCTAAACTTAAAACAACAACAACAACAAAAAGGTTACACCCTAACTCCCATTTAGACAAAAGTCACATGGACAGTATATTTGGTTTATGTGGCATATCCCTTAAAAATGATTTCTTGAATATCAGTACAGTTGTTTTCAGGGGTGAAACCCCCCCCATACAGTGCTGATTAGCCTCAATCATTTCTAGAACTTTCCCGTGTACTATGATAAATTTCAGTGATAATATTATGGAGAGTGAGAATTTTAAGGTTTATGATTCGTGAAATTCTGTGAATGTTGGCTCAGTATACATAAAATTTCAAGTGTATTGTTTATCTATATTTACAAATTTATCTTCCAGGCTGTTCCTTACTCCAGAGAATTTAAACAGAAATATGACTACTTTAGGAAGAAATTAAAGAAACCTGTGAGTAACATGTCTTCCAAAAATGATGTTTTAGTCATCTGTAAGTTGCCAAAGTTACTTCAGTGAGAACAACTTGTGTGTTTACCTTTATGTGTATACTAAAAATATTACCTTACTTTTCCCATTGCACTTTGATCCACCTGGATCTTCAATCTGAATTTTCTTTTTAAGAGACCTGGTAAGTGAAGACTAACTTAGTATTACATATCAAATCAACCTGAATGGTAATTTCTTATGTAATACATAACAAGATAGAAATGATTTTAGTGGGATATATAAAATAATTGAGGACCTAGTCAAAAAATGTGGAGAACCCTGCGGTCATCATCATAAAACCTAGACTCGACTCAGAAAAATGTTCCCATCCTTCCCTCCCAATTCAAAAGTATAGTTTTAATTATATTTATAACACAAATATAATTTGCCAAATATATTTGGCATGTTAAGAACGAGTATAATTTTCAGATGAAAATTCTCAGTGGGAAACCTTGTGAGGTTTTTACAAAACTGAGAAACCCTGTGAGGTTTTTACAGGCCGCGTTTTAAATCGCAGTATTAAATTTTCTCCTGGCACATCCTCCCCGGATCTTCACCGTGTCTTCTGTCTTCCTGTCTGACGTCACCGCTCTGGTGCAGGTTTTACCAGTTTTCCCTTCAGTGTGCACACTCATGGTTTCTGTGCCGGCCACTGTTTCTTGGCTTCCTCCCCTTGGGAAGAGGAGAGTACTGGGCACAACTCCGCTCACCCCAGTCTGCCCGGGCTCCATCGTGGTCTCTCCCACTCCGTGCCCTTGGCTGATGCCTCTTTTCTGGGCCTCTGCAATGGGCAAGGCACTGGGGACATGCCGGTGCACGAGACAGTCTCTGTGTCGGGAGCTCCCACGTTTGGGTCCTCTCCCTCCCAGCGTGCTCATTCAAGTAGCTCTTGGAAAACTGCCTTGAAAGTGACTCTGATAAACACACATAAAATTCCTCAGTGTTATTTAGTGAGTAACCTAATGTCCCCCAGTAGCTGGGGATGACTTTGTGGATGGGAGCCTGTCATACCCTGGCACTCCTGCTGGGGTATTATCTGCCGGGAAACCCCACTGCAAATCCACTGTCAGAGCAAGACTAACCCTGGTCCTCCTTTTTCCAGGCAGCAGTGATTCACAACTTCGCTCAAGTGCTTGTTTCTGTTCATGTTCTTTAACCGTGACCTTTGCCATGCTTTCCCACAGCCTGGCATGATCCTCGAGGTCCCACTTCTCATGGCACCAGAATTAGCTTGTAGGCATCATGGATCACATCTACCAGCTGGAGACCCTGCCAGAGTTGAGAATGCTCTCAACTGGGCCAGATGGGAATTGTTTTCTGGGTTTTGATGACCTGGACTGACATCCCTCTCTTCGACAGAGGCAGTATCGAGAGTTGACTATATTTCAGTGGCCAGTGGGTGGACAGGTGCCTCACGGTTGTTTATAAAAGGCGGGGAGAGGATGATTGTCTTCTACTCCACATAGTTTCTTGTGCCTCATGTGTTGCTGGCTCCGTCTGACAGCTGCTGGTTCATGCTCTGTGTATCTTATCCTGACGTAGTGGGGCTCGATGTCTGTGTGAATAAAATCCCTGAAGGAGGGAATCTCAGTTGGAGCCCTTGGTCACTGCTTGTTTATTTGAAGACTGCCATCATTTCTACTCTTTGTTGTTTTTCTCTGTTCAAAAGTCAGATGTGTATTTGCTGTGTGATTACGTGCTTTTTTTCTTCTTTCATGTAGGCTGATATTCCAAATAGGTTTGAAATGAAACTTCACAGAAATAACATCTTTGAAGAGTCCTATCGGAGAATCATGTCTGTGAAAAGACCAGATGTCCTGAAAGCCAGACTGTGGATTGAGTTTGAATCGGAGAAAGGTCTTGACTATGGGGGTGTGGCCAGAGAGTGGTTCTTCCTGCTGTCCAAAGAGATGTTCAACCCCTACTATGGGCTTTTTGAGTATTCTGCAACGTAAGTATGCGGAGTGCACTCAGAATGTGTCCCTCCCCCCCCGCTCCATCGAAAGAGTAATTAGTAATGAATTTAAACCTAATGGGAGAATGAGCGGCTCAGTCATTCGAGATGAATTAACATTGCTGATTTCAGCACTCCCCTCCCCCCGTAAGTCTAGAACAGGTTCCGACTCTACATGGTGAAGTAATGTACTCTGCCTTGTCATTCGGGTTCATATAATTGAAATGGAAAATGTGCTGGGGACTTATGGTTAGGAACAAGAGGCAATTTTCATTTGTAATGTTATGCTAATTCAGGAGGATTTGTCAGTGTCAGAATTCAGGAACTCATCAGGTTATGAACAAGAATAGTTTCTGAAGTTCTGCTCAGGCAAATGATGGCAAACTTTGAGGACCCATTCTTCAGGATATAAAGGACCATGTATTGGTCTTGTAAGGGAAGAAACAGATTCTCCCTTGTATTGGGATTTCATCTTCACCAAACAGAAACTGAGGCAGAGTTAGTTGCATTCTCAGGAATCAGACAGCCACGACTTACAGGGCCGGGAGCTCCTTCCAGGCTGTGGAGTCTCCAAAGGCTTCGGCTGAACCTGAGGCCCCAGTAGGATAGTCGTTGACCTTGCTGAAGGGCAACCTGTGCCATCAAGGGACATGGGTTCTCCCGCATCATCTCCTGGGAGCTCTCCTTGGTTGCTTTAGCCAAGAATTCCCATTTTGTTTTTTTTGTTTGTTGTTGTTCACCATGAGCACCATGAGAAAGCCTGCTATGTGAAATTGATAAAACCATTGAAGTGGAGGGCAGGGTAGGGATGCAAGACCCTTATCTCTCACCCACATTCCCAGAGAGATACCCCCACCATAGGGAATCCCTGTGGAGCCCAGTTTGAAAACCACTGATCCTCAAGATCTTGAGACCAAAGAAGGATGATTAGATAAACGTGAACATTTTGAGGTTTGTATTGTTGAGACAGCCGAATGCTACTCCCAGTGCCCTTGGAGCCTTTCAGGGCAGAGTGGTGGTCAGACCAAGGGTTGGGTCCATCGGAAAAACTTTTAATCTCCAAACCACAAGTGTTTCAAAGGAATTAACCCTCATCTTCACAGAGAAAACCTGTAGTACTCAACGTCATTGGCAGTCGACACATGGCCCCTCTGTTACATGTTTCTCGTGTTCCCAAAATACTTGACTGAACCATATGCAATTGACATTTTTTATAGAGCAAAAGTAGTCAAATATCAACAGTTTCTGGTGATGTGACTTACATAGGGCATGTGCACCTGCTCTGTTAGACCTCAGTCGGTCACAAAGGGGCTAACTAAACAGTAAGTCACGTTCTCTAGCTTTTATGCCTTTTTCCATTGGGTACAGAATGTTTGCAGGTGCACTGTGCAAGTCTAAGGACTGGTAGCAAAGGAGAATTCAGGTCGACCTGTTGAATTTCTTATTTAAAAGTATGATTACGCTTTACCTCTCTCTCTCTCCCTCCCCAAAGGGACAACTACACACTTCAGATCAACCCCAATTCAGGCCTCTGTAATGAAGACCATTTATCCTATTTCACTTTTATTGGAAGAGTTGCTGGTCTGGCAGTATTTCATGGGAAACTTTTGGATGGTAAGTTACTGAAATGACACAAAGTAACCAAAATAGGACAGTGCCGTTTGTGGTTCCTTACTAGGTGTCCTATCTTTCACATCACGATGTTATGCAAAAGTTTCACTGATTCTCTGTAATTGGATAAATTAGTTTTTTGGTTTGCCCGTAAAAGAGGTGCTTTTCCCTGGTGTCATCCTAATTTGAGCACTGAAGACATAGTGTCTACACAGTTTCAAAAAAAAAATTTTTTTAACCTTACGCTGTAAAGCACAGAACATTCTCCATTTGCACATTTTCTGTGTTTTCCAGAATAACTTTTTTTTTTTTTAGCAAGAGGTATATTTGGTGACAGATGGGAAAGCTAATTGAAAAGTTAATTAAAATGATCTAATCCATCCAATATCCTGCTATTGTTCCATTTGTCCCCAAATTATTATTTTTGAATGTGAAGAGATTGTAAGTAATTTCAAAGCAATGCTCTCACTCAGTGAAGAGATTGACCCTGGGATCACTGCTAAAACAGATGGCACAAAAGAATCTCTTTATTATTTAGAGCATATAAGTGATGGAAGAATTTCAAGGTATACTTAAAGTTAGAAGTCAGACTCCCTCCCTGGCTGGATCTATAGGCTTCTTGGTAGTAAAGACCTCTTCTGCATTCAGTCACTTCAGAAGTAATGCCCATAAGAGGGCATTACAGAAATCATCAGTGAGGAAATTGAATCTGAAATATTTTTGAAGGGGGAGCCTGGGTGGCTCAGTCGGTTAAGTGTCTGATTCTTGATTTCAGCTCAGGTCATGATCTCAGGGTCATGAGATCGAGCCCCACAAAGGGCTCTGTGCTCAGCAAGGAGTCTGTCCTTCTCACTCTACCCCTCCCCCAACGAGCACTCTCTGTCTCCAAAAAATAAATAAAATCTTCAAAAATACCTGTTTTTGGCATGAAACAGTTGAGGATAGAAGGCAGAGAGTAAGATTTGGGGTCAAAATTGTAATTACCATAGAAAATGAGGTTTTATGGGGAAATATGTTAATTGTGTTTATGGAACCTCAGCTATTCCAAAAAATAATTGATGTCCCCTCTGTACTTTTCCCTTTAATATATTTTCACTGGTAATTGGTAGCTGATTTTTGATCCTCTCATTTCATATTTTATTTTTGGTTGGGAAAGTAAACTTTTTTTTTTTCTGATTAGAAGGAAACCACAGTCATTATTTATGTATGTATAAAATATATACATATACATAGTGTGTGTGTAAATATATTTTAATTTGCAACTTTGGAGTCATGCCATAAATTATTTCAGCCTATGCAGATTCATTTCAGCTTTCTTAGAGGTCTGTTTATTTACCTTCTGCCAAGTGAGAAGGCATTCTTAGTTGCTTTGGAGAAATCTAGAAAGTAGAAGATAGGATCCTGACCTCAGTGAACTTCTGTTCTCTTGGGGCGGGGGCATGGTGGGGAGCAGAAGAATCAGAGCAACAGGAGGAGGGGGCTCCAGGAGCAGGCCGAGGAGAAGGCGGCCTGGCTGGAGGGCCAGGGAGTGTGTTGACCATGCCGGATCTCACCTCAAGGGTGGGGTAGGATTTACACATTTCGAAGCTGGGATCACTTGGGAGCCAAGCTCCGTGGAGGGAGTAGCGGGAAGGGGCAGGAACATGTCATGGAGTGGAGGAGACTGCCACACTGGGGGACAACAGTGTATCTCAGCAATTGCAGAGTTAAGAGCCAGAGTGCCCCTGGGTGTGGGGTCAGAATGTGCGTGCCCCCTGTAGGCAGAACCTGTGCGCTCTGCAGGTCAGCGCACCGCTGCCTTCTGCTGGTTTCCTCCTTTTACTACCTTTTGCCTCCCTAGACCCCGAAGGTTATTGAGCCAGCAGGATGGGGAATATGCAGCAGAGCACCGTGACAGATTGGATGGGGCAGGGGGGCGAGGATAAAGGAGGAAGGGGGAGAAGGGCCCCCTGGGAGGAGGTGGCGCCCAAGGGATGCCGACTTGCCCTTGGGGAAGGCAAGTCGGGGTCCCTGCGGGCCACCTCTGTGGTGGTGGAGTCCATCGCCATAGGCCTTCATCCCCCTCCCCTGGAAGACTGCACAGCCTTCTGAGTGGTCTCCCTCGTTTCCCACTTGCCCCCTTCCTTGTTTTCTCCCCATTACTGCCCAAGCAGTGATCCCCAAGTGCAGGTGAAATTTTCACCTGGCTTTTCCATGACACGGGAGCCCCACAGGCAGCAGCCTGACTCTCCAGCGCCCCCTGCTGGCCATGTGCTTCCCAGTCCCCTCTCCGGCCTGTCCTCAACCTGGCCCACCCCTGGCAAGTCTCGGTCTTGTCCCCTCCGCTGCTACTGCTCTTTTGTCCCCTTGTTCATGTGCCTTGTTTGAGCTGCAGACTCCCGCTTGGCCCTGACTTTTTTCTGCCTCCTTAGAAGCCTTTAGACCTCTTCCTGTTGTACTATCCTGCCTGAGCCATGCCTTCCCCTAGGCCAGGCCTGGCCTCTCATTCAACCTGAGGGCAGCTTCATTTTTTATTTCAGCAGTATCACAGCTTTGAGAACTAACCCATATTTTTCCTCCCTCTCTTAGGTTTCTTCATTAGACCGTTTTACAAAATGATGTTGGGAAAGCAGATAACTCTGAATGACATGGAGTCTGTGGTGAGTAAATATCACTCCCCTGGGCATCATGGGCCCCTGTGCCTCGCAGAGGGGTAGCTGAGATCAGGTTGTAGTTGCAGTGATTTTTGTGGGTGTTGTCATTCAGTATGAACAACAGGGAACATTGACTTGTTCACGAAGTTAATTGAGCTCCCTAAATTCTAATAAGTAAATCGTTATTCACATTTCCTAGAATTGTGCTGCTCGAGGTGGGTAGACTCCAGCCTCAGCCACCTCACTTCCCTGGAACTGATTTGACCAAACTCGATCCAAGGGTCATCTGGGGGTCTCACTGTAGCTCTTACTTTCCTTCGAAAACCGCTGATCCGAATGTTTAGAGATTCATCGGCTATCCCTCTGCTTTCTAATCTCAAAACATGGAAGGAGCGCAGGCCAAAACGGAGCTAAAGGGAAGACCACTTCCAGATATGGAAGTGACCGGTTCGGTGCCGGGGACGGGATGAACCCAGTTAGCAAAGGATGTTAGAAGACACTCTCTGAAACATGATTTGGGCTTTCCCATTGCAGTCAACTTCCCCGTTTTATCTAGGCTGACCATTTTAGGGTCAAAAGGATTTTCTATAAAAACAAAAGTGACACTCTTCTCGTAACGTACCTGCTCCTTCTGGTTTTCTGTTAGTTTACCCATCCCCCCACCAGCGCGCTCCAGCCGAGCGTGGGGGTGTTTGCCCGAGTGCCAGCGCACTCACGGGGCCATCAGGAAGCTCTTTGTCCACTTGGGGTATTGCAACTCTGCTTTCATATCCTGTCACTTGATGAGAAAGCACGTGCATCCCCTTGGCCTCGCTGTGATTGTCAGTGGTGTGTCTTAGGTAGTTGGGCATTTGAGCCGTATTCTCCTCGTTTACCAGCATTCGTCAGTGCTCTGCTCATCATCTCTGTGAAGGAAGAGGGTGACGCCCACCGTGCACATGAATCCACTCAACTGGTTTTCCCGTGGGCGAGTTGCTACACAGAACCCCAGTAGCAACCTCAAAGCTTCCACCTTTAACTTACGTTTCTATTATAATAGAATGAGGGAGCTGGGAACATAGAAATTTCTTCTAAAATTTTATACCACCTGTTGACGGTCGGTGCACGCATTCTCTTCTGCCTTCCCAGAGCCTGTCCAGTGTGTCCCCAGTGGTGGAGCCCCTGGGCCTGCCCCAGGGAGAGGAGCCCAGGCCCCTGTGGCTTGTGTTCTGGCTTTGACACCAGCGCAGCCTTCCTGTTTGCTTACAGGACTTGCAGAGAGCAATAAAAGCACAGGAAGGGGGTATAAAATCATTGGTATTTAAGTAGAACATTTTCTGTCTTTCCTGTTTTCCTCTGATATTTTCACCCTTAAAAGATCGGAATATTGATTTCTCCATGGTCAACCTGATGTTCCTTCTGCCAATCCAGAGCAGGTTGTTTCCTCTACCCTTTTCGGAGGACAGGATTCACGTCCAGTCCCCTCCTGACTACCAAAACATTTTTTTGGTTTGATTTGTATTTTAAATTACAGGGGAAGAGTAGGTTTGGAGCAGAGCAAGAAGCCTATTAGTGACTAGTAATCCTTGAGCATTCTGAAGGGAATCGTGTTAGAAGGGCTTAATGACTTGGAGAAGTCAAATGAGTTTGTATTTAGGGAGGAAAACTTAATTTCTCTATCATTTCTATAGGATAGTGAATATTACAACTCTTTGAAATGGATCTTGGAAAATGATCCTACTGAACTGGACCTCATGTTCTGTATCGATGAAGAAAACTTTGGACAGGTACGTGTGGGCCTCCCCAGGACTCCCTCTTTGACTTCACAGTCTTTGCTTCTTCACAGAAGGGCTGTAACAGGACTCCACTGGACAATTAAAATCACTTCTGAGAGCTTCAGGTGTTAATTAGCATCTCATTACATGGGTACCTCCTTGTCCTGCCAGGAAGCTAACTACTTCCTCTCTTCCGGCCAAGTTAGAGATTCTAAGTCCTCTGGGGTGTGAAGCCCATCTCCTTCTCACTTAAAGCAAATCGGAATGTGAGTGTTTAGGCCTTGGTTTTAGAATTTAAGTACTTCAAAAAATCATGTGTTTAAGTACGTGACCAGGAGAGGTGATGTTTGGCGGGGCCTTTAAGGGTTCTGTGGTCATGATGAAAGTGGTCTTGTGGGGCTCAGCGGGCTCGGATTTTTCTAGCATTCCCTTCTTGCTTTGCACACGCACTGTCATTAGGCTGAATTCATCGTAAAGATCTATGTCAAAGATAAAGTGGCCTGCTGGGAATTCTCATCACCGTCCTGAAGTTCCATAGGGTGTGTTTGTCTTAAACCCGAAACCTTCTATTCATTTGTCCCTGGTGATCACGGTGCTTTTTGGGAGGTCTGTTGACGGTATTTATCCAGCCCTGGTACCTGTCCTTTCACAAAAGCCCAGACACGGTTCCCATGTCCCAGAGCAAATCTGCATGACCTTGAAATGAATGAGACCGTGGAGCCCATTTGAAGGGTTGCCATATGGAAAAGGAAACTGATCTTCCTTGTTGCTTCAGAGGTGGTTAAAAGTGTCCTCTGCTGTCAGAAATGCCTGTCACTTTACATTGTGGCGCTCAGTTGTGTAGGTGAAGCTAGGAAATCAGGTGCCTGCCCTCTTGGGTTCACTGTCTTAGAAAGCAAACACAAACATGCAGTTTGTCTACTTAAAAATTCTTGGTTGACCCTTCTGTGACCTTCAGGATAAATTGAAACTTTTTTTTTTTTTTTTTAAGAATAGCTTATGACCTGGCACTGCCCACCTTTAGCCTGATCTTTTGACCCCTCCACTTGCTCACCTTGACAACCATAGCGTACCTATAACCTTGTCTGCAGAGACACTTCCGGGCGAGCTCCCTGTCTGTGCAGCGCCCTCCGTGTTCCTGCACCGTGTCGTCCCCTCTCCCAAAACTCTTCTCAGGCTGTCCCCCAATCATCACAGACCTACTGTCTGCTCTGAGCCGACCTCAGTCGCCTTGGTCTTTCTGGCGCTCAGCGGCCGCTGAGACCTGCTGAATGATTATCGGGCAAATGAATGGCACCAACCTAGTTGTGTTTTTTTTTTAAACTGTTAATTTGTTGTAAGTAACAGAAGCTCTGAGTGTGAGAAAACAAAATAATTCAGTGACTTCGTTTTCTAAGCTGGACCTATTTAAGGGCGCTGCCACTCTGTCTTCCTTTCATTTCTAACACATGGAGGAAGGAGTAGAAATAAGGAACCAAGGAAGACTTAAAATTGATCTTGTGTGTTGACTGCAAAAAACAAAACAAAAAAACCCTTTATATCCACTCACATAGAAAACCATATGACTAACTTACGGTTCAGAAGACGTGAGCAAGGCAGAGCTGGAAGCGGATGTGCTGGGGAAGCCTCCTTAGTGACAGTTAAATGGAACTGTTTCTGCCTAATAAATGACACCCAAACACATGATGTTTGGATTTTTAAGTAGACTTCTAATAAAAGTTCTGATGATCATTATAGTTCATATCAGTTATTCATTAAAAACAATTCTCAGCCCTCCTCATTTGATGCTGTAGGTTCTTCTGACTTTTGGATTGAACTGGGTGGAGTAATGCAGTAATCAAAACAGACTCACAGGAGGAGTAATAAGAATGATTAGGTGCCCTCTTTGTTAAATTACCGCTTCCCTTTTTAGAGAGCTGACCTGATTAACAGGGAACTAGTGTTATCTCTTTTGCATTCTGGGAAGAAATTGAGAGAGAATTAAGCAGCCACATAGTGATCACATCTCCCATTTCCAGTCCCTCCCCAAGCCTTGTTCATTTTAACCCCCAAATACTTATCACATCTGTCTGTTCTCCCTTCCCAACTCGTCCAACACCCAAGTCTAAGCTACCATCCTGTCTCATAGACTCCTAGCTGGGCTTTTATATCCACCTTGTTCTCCTTTAATGGCGGACTGGTCTTTTCAGGACTTAAAAATCATCATCTCTCTGCCAGAAACATTGAAAGATAAAGATCCAGATCATTGATTGGCCCCATGAGGTCCCGCATGGCCTTGCCCCATCTGCTCTGTCTCCAGATGCATTTTTGCATCACAGAGCTGCCCCTCGTGCTCTCTGGGCCTGGTCTCATTGGACTTCCTGAACACATCAAGTTCCTTCTTGCCTCAGGACCTTTGCTCATGCCATTCCATCTCTTGGGAACATACTGCCTCCCACCTGCTGTTCAGACAGTCCCTTCCTCAAAAGGAAACTGACCTTGACCCCAGGCCATAATACTTCACAGAGTGCGTCCATGTCTCCCTGTGGCATATAGCATGGATGACTGTGCATTTATTGCTATGATTAGGTGCGGAGCATTAAGCGCAGGCTGGTGGCGGCAGTACTGGGTATGCGTCTTGCTGGCCACCGTGCACTCACCTGCACAGCACCTGGGAGTGGGGAGCGGTGGAACCAGCGTGGGTGTCCACTGATGTCCCCGCCTCTCTCCTCCTCCAGCCCTCTGCACAGCTGTTGACCGCGTTGCCTTTTACTTGAACCCAAGAGGAGGTGCATGCCTCCCTTGGGCCAGAACATAGTCATTTCTTCAATGGCGTGAAGGCACCACACACATGGACCGTACGTGCAGCAGGCCTTCCAAGGGACTATTAGCTAGCAGGTTTTTTTTGTTTTTGTTGTTTTTGTTGTTTTTTCATTCCGCAACTGGAAACGTCAAGCTGTGAAGTTGGGTGGTAGCTGTCATTTCAAGGAAAGAAACTCAGGCTGTGGTCATTATTGTGCAGTGTTTTCTTTCTGGTTGGTGAGAATTTGGAGCCGCAGGTTTCTGGGGCCTCCTGTGAATGTCTCGGATGAACAGATTTCAGCATGTGAACAATCGTCCTTTGCCGAGCAGCAAGAATAAACTGTGCACTGGGGCGCATGTGCACACCCACACCCAGAGGAGGAGGTACTCTTTCAGAGCTGTAATAAGAAGTAGACATTCTTTATTGCCGGTTCAGCAACTTCGCATCTGATCGGGTTGTTTTGAAGACTAGAAGTGTGGACTCTTACGAGCCTGGGCAGCAACCTGCAGGAAGATTCTTCAGGACCAGGCATAAGTTAGGTGAAGGCATACATTCTGAACTGGGGTGACATCACCCCCAAGGGGGTAAAAACTAGTTCTTGGAGAACAAAAAAGTCTCAGCTATTAACGGTGGCTTGTGGCGCTCCCAAAAGGCCACAGTGTGTGCCTCGGGATTAGGATAGATCTGTTTATGAAGATTTAACGGGAAGAAAGGGGCAGGGACAGGGGAGGGGGTCTAAAAGGGCTCTTAAGGGGCAACAATGAACAAAAAGGCTGAGAAACTCCATAGGGGAAGGAAATGAGTGAAAGGCAGAAACTGGATTTAGGAGGAAAGGTGAGCCACAGACGGGGCAAGATCCTGGCCGAAGCTGGGAAGAACCAGACCAAGAGCCTAATGTGGGGGTGGCTCCCGGTGGGCAGGGGGGGCAGAGGCTCGGGCTCCTCAAAGACCAGGTCAGGGAGCTAGACAGATGACACCTGTAGGAAACGTGAAGAAGGTAGAAGGGCGGTTGACGCAGATGCCTTGGCCCCATGGCTCGCTTTCTTGTCTGCCTGGACCCTGAGGCTCATCCCGCAGGGTTCGTGGGGCACATGTCGTGTCAGCAGGTGGGGGTTCGCCTAGCAGTGAGCAGCGTGCCCAAGCATGGGGCCCCAGGCAGGCGAACCTGGCTCTGCCCAAGTCCCACTCACTCAATAGGATCCACACAGTTTCTCAGCAGACTTTTCGGACATTCGACGTAAGGCATCGTTGAACGATCTGGGGGATGGGTGTGAATCCAGAGCTTTAACCTGCCAAGGAAGAGGGTCTAGATGTGTGAGTCCCATCTCCTCGGAGGTTCCTCTGATCTAACAGTCTTTATGAAGAGGGGTTACTTTGTACTCAGGCCAGTAGACTTAGAATAGGGATTTTTCCAGAAGCACATACTGAGCGCCTCCTGTGTGCAGGTGGCACTGTGTTAGTGTTGTTCATCCCGGGTCCTTGAGTTCAGATACAAGACAATGATGACACTGGCCCAGATGCAGGTGTTCACACAGAGGAAGTATGTATTCGGTGTGGTGGGGAGACAGTGGGGTGGGAGGAAGCCACTCTCCACTTCCTGTTGAGTCTCCCTCTCGGCGAGGAAATGGGGGCAATGGCACCTGCCTCGTGGGGACCGGTCCATGATTTCCCCTGTGACGAGCCTAACCCTGCACCCGGACCACAGGAAGCGGGCTGTGCCTGGCCCTTGGCAGCCAGTTGAAAACGTGGGATTGGAAGGGCCCCCACTACTTCCCACTCAGGTGTTGTCGGTGAGGAGCCCAGGCAGGAGAGAACTGGACTGAACTGAGAGACACGAATGGTCAGACTCTGGGAGCAAGTGCTGGAAACCAGCCCTCTCTGCCTGCTCGTGAGCCCCCAGCACCGCCTCCCCGAGGGACCCGCAGTCAATCACCCACAGAACCAGACGGCTGCCCACAGACTGACTCTTGCTTAACCTCCTGATGTAACGCAGCGTGGTCCCTTTTTTCCTTCAAAAACGATGGTATTTGTTTATCTGATTACAAAATACTAATAAGTAATAAACATAAAGCCAGTACAATAAAAATCATCCATAGCTCCTACCACCTAGAGAAAATTCACGATTAAAATTTTGATTTCTGTCTTCCAGAATTATTCTTTGTAATCACATGCAAACAAGATTTTTTATTTTTACAGAATGAACTTGTACGATATATACACTTCTAACTTAATATATCCCAGCTACCTTTCCATGTCAGGAAATGTCAAGGTAATCTATTTTAATGGCTACACTGAATTCCATGTCTTAGACCAGATCTTTTCTAACCATGTCCCATTGCTAGGCATGCAGGCTAGTTTGTGGTTTTGCTATATAGGCAGCATAATGATTATAATCTTGGAATATACATTTTGTTGATCTAGCCAATTTCCCTTGGTACAAATTCTAGAAGAGAAGGTATTATGACAAGGGGTGCTGTGCACATTAAAATTTGATGCCTCTTGCCAAATTACCTTCCCAAAAGGTTGAAGCTGTTAGACCCCTACCAACAGCGTAGGGAAGAATGGTTTCTCTGCAGTCAGTGCGGGCTGCCTCCTCTTTTTCACTGGGTGTTGGATTTTGGAGGCACCAGAGGTGTTTTTCTCCTTGCCCCTCCCCACGCTCGCTCTCTGAGGTCAATCTTCTCATTCCAGAGCTCTCTGGAAATTGCAGCTCCTGGAAAAAATTCTTAATATTGTTGAACTGTGCTAAAGATCTCTCAGTACCAAGAACTGGGCTTGGATTTATTAACTTGTTTGGTGTGGATCTGACGGAGAAACTCCATTACTGAAAGGGAACAGCAAGACCATCTTTGGGGGAGAAAAGGAAAAACCATGAGGAGCTTATTTAAAAATGCAGCAGTATAAATGAATACGGTCGGTTCTATTCTAAGAAATGTCGCCACCTCACACATTAAGCATAAGTGTCCACCATCATTGAGGATTGCCAGGGCCCCTTGAGGCCGGGCAGGCAATCACAGGGAGAGCCAGGCAGACGGGAGGACAGCCACGGAGAAGGGGAAAACAGGCAGGAAGGAGGGGCTCGAAGAAAACTAAGAATACGGTAACATTGAAATCCACATCGTGGACGGTAAAGAGTTGCAGTGACATCGTAGAGCGTGGAGTTCAGTCATGGGGTGGAAACACCAGATCCCTCCCTGAATAAGAGGAAAAGGAGAAAGAAGGAAACGTAAAAGGATTGGATGACCAGCGTGCTTTGACTGAAAACCCCGAACTGGAGCAGCGATCCCGCACATAATCGGGAGACCGTTGGGAGGCGGACAGGGGCTGCGCGTCTGGGTCACAGAGGCTCCATCTGTCCTGGGCAGGTGAGGCCAGCAGGTGAGGCATCGCTGACGGTGGACCCCTGCCCGAGCAGCAGATTTCATCGCCGCTCCAAATCTCTTCTCCCTCATGATGGATGTGACCCACAAACTTACTCTGGAAAACCCTCACTCTCTGAAATAGCCAGTTCTGCATAGAAAAGAAGAAAGGGATCCCAGCAGAACATTGATGTGGCTATCTTTGAATAGGAGACTTGTGGGTGGTAATTTTTTCTATTAAAATTTCTATGAGAGTAAACTTTATTATTATTATCTTAAGCCTCTCCATCCCTTGCTTTCTGCTAGTTATTGCTTTCTATGGCATGATGTTGAGTTAGGGCCAGCCAGGGGCACAGAACAAGGCCATGCTTGCTTTCAGCAGCTTTGCTCTTACAGTGCTGGGTGGCCCTGCGGGAGGGAGCTAGTCCAGGCAGTGAGCAAGGAGGTGTCCGGATGCACATAGAAAGCCAGGGTTCTCAGAACAGCAGGTAAATCCATCCCTCAGCCTTGCTTCTTAAGCTGCCCTTTTTTTTTTCTTTTAAGTCCCTATGTTTCCCCTTTTTGAAAGCGTCTTTTTTTATGACTATAAAATCTAATTTTCGGAAAATGCATTAAAATTTGGATCTCAGTAGTCTTGATGAGCGTACCCTGTCTTTTCTGTTACACGTAATTAAGTTCTTGATAAATGAATAGGTGACAAAATGGTGCTCTTCTCCATTGTTTGTAATGTATGAAGAATAATTAAAACTCATAAATAACCTCAAAATAATTCACCTTTGATAACCTCTTTAAATGTGTAACATCTCTAAAGTTTAAAAGCCTTGTTAGATATTCTCTTATACTCAGAGCCCATCTGCTGGAAAGTCTTTCTGAATGAATGTTGCTTATCTTGTTTAGTAAGACATTATTACTCAGTAATGTGCACAGTAACTTCATGATGGTGATTGTTGTGTTATCTTTGCAATTACAGACCTATCAAGTGGATCTGAAGCCCAATGGGTCAGAAATAATGGTGACAAATGAAAACAAGAGGGAATATATTGAGTACGTATACACAGATTTACAACCTTTTATTAAATTGAACAAGGTGGTTGATGTCCCTTTCGAAAACAGCTCGTGCCTGTTGTGGACACACTTTCAGTAATATGAGTTCCTTTCTGGCTGGGGCTAATAGGAAGTCAAACTATAAGATGGAAGTTGGGCCTTGTATCATGACTTCAGTGAGCTGCCTTATGAGGGAGTCATAAAAGGAGAAAAAAGTGTACAGTATTGAGTAATATGGCAGACATGCTTTTGGAGGATGTGATGTGTAGTCTAAAATTGAGATTTGCAGTGTTGGAACATAGTGTCAACAACCAGTGGGGTAAAATAAGGAACAACCAGAAATAAAATATTTCCTCTCTCTCGTGACTTCTCTTCCGTAATGAAAATGTAAGAAAATTGTTAAAATGGATAAGAAAAATCCACATATGCAAACACAGTGAATTATTTCTGATATTTACAATTTTCTTAACCCAATCTTAGCCTCGGTGGTGGAACAAAATGTTTAGTCCTTTGGAAATCCAACTGTTAAGCAATCCTAGGGCATTTATGCTAGCCAGAAGGCCTTTGTCTGTCGGGCACATTACAGGATTTCCTTTTTGGTATGTATATTCGCTTCAAGCACACAAGTCTGGGATCTCCCTCTCTAGCCCCAGTGCAGGGATGGGGTTGGCACAGTGGTGTTTGGTGCCCGGGTCCCAGTGTCTGCATTCAACAAGCTGGTTCCCTCCTCCCTGCTCAACATAATTGGTCAGAAGACTTGAATTTGAAGAATTGGCCTAGAGTCTTGGCATCTTTTAGTGTCCTCTATAAAGAAAAACCCATCCTTCCTAATTAGGGAGAAATGGAGAGTGTTGGAGCCTCTACTTAGAGACCCTGACAAAGCATGCATAGCAGACTTGCCCTCTCCCCACCCATCCTCACAAGTTAAAAGCTTGCTGTGCTTAAAAAACAAAACAAAACAAAAAACCCACCTAGGAATAAGACACTACAGTTCTTACCTGTTCACATTAATTGGCACACTTGTTCTGAATTTGGACAGTCTCGGCAGGTTGGACGCCACCTCGGCAGATGGCATGGTCTTCATTTTGAAAGTATAGGCTTTGAATGGATTTTTAAATCCTGAGGGGGATTAGGGTCTGAAGTCTGAGTGTTTGGACATTTGATACATGTGGTATATCATCCTTTGCCGTTAATTCCTTTAGGTTTCAAGTTTGCTGGGGGGTGGGCTTGGACAGAGTTGCAGGTGGCTTCACTGGAAAAGAAAGGGTGAAAATCTCCACCCGCCCCCGGCACACGGGTGCCCCTGGGGTGCAAGAAGGCTCTGGGGCTGATGGTTGAGCAGTGCGGTGAAGCCTTAGGCGGCTGAGCAGGGCATGTGCAGAGGGGCTGGGCCTGGAGGGCCGTTGCCATGGTGGCACCTCGCAGGGCGAGCCCTTTATGGAGGGCTTCGTGCTATTTCACGACAGAATGCTTTAGCTGGAGTCCAGCATGGATTCACCTAGCATTAGATTCTGCTGTGCCCTAAACATTGTCACAGAGAAAATGGTTTCTGTTAAAGAGGTCTTATCATTAATCCTCCAAATTTTGGTATTAAAGGATTAGCGTAAATCATTTTGCTGGTAAGTTATGTGTCATTGTTGAAAACAGTATACTGGACGCTAGAGTGAAATGTATCACAAAATGTTGTACTAGATACTCCTTTTAAAAATATATGTACATGTTTAGGGGCACCTGGGTGGCTCAGTCAGTTGGGCGTCTGCCTTCGGCTCAGGTCATGAACTCAGGGTCCCTGGAATTGAGTCCCATGTCGGGCTCCCTGCTGAGCAGGGAGCCTGCTTCTCCTTCTCCCTCTGCCTCTCCCCTCTGCTTGTTCTCTCTCTCAAATAAGTAAATGAAATCTTTAAAAAAGGAGGAAAAAAACCTATGTACATGTTTATGCAGAGGTGGGTGTGTATATGCATGAGTTTGCGTGTGCATGCATGCATGACGCGCCTGTATGTTCGCACTCCACGACCTTTTTTTATCTCTCTGTCCGGGTAGTCCTATCTGTAGGCAACTTTGCCAAACCAAGACTTGATTGGAGGGGAATAAATTATCTCTGGGTTTAGGTTTCCCAGCTACTCCTGAAAGCATTACTGAATCAAGCGTGCTACAGTTCTACACCCTCCCTGTTGTCCGCCACGGCGGGGGTTCCTCTGCTCTCCCCTCCCCGGGTGAGAAGGTCTGAGGAAGCAAATGGGGCTCGCGGTGACAAGGGTGGTTCACTACTCTTCCCGTTTCTCCCGCAGCTTGGTCATCCAGTGGAGGTTTGTGAACAGGGTCCAGAAGCAAATGAATGCCTTCTTGGAGGTAAGTTGTGCGCCGTCAGTCCTGGGTTGAGAGAGGAGGGCTCTGGTCCTGGGGGTGGGGGCGCTGGTGGCCCGGAGCACTCAGCCACCCTTTCTTTCATCTCGTGTTCTCTTGCTCTGCTTCTCCTTGAATCCCTCACAGACTCCACTTCCACACAGGTACATGCAAAACACATTGTCTTCGGCTGGGTTTTTGTCTTAACACCGACCTGTTGTGCCAACTTCCTCCTATTAGAGGGCGAAGCAGCCACTCCTCAGATCCAAATATTTAATGTCAGCAACACTCCCAGGCCCCTAGCAGAGGGTGGCGGGATTCCTCATTTTATAGAGGGTTCAGTTTGGGGGCACCTGGATGACTCAGTTAAGCGTCTGCCTTCGGCTCAGGTCATGCTCTCAGGGTCCTGGGATCGAGCCCCATGTCGGGCTCCCTGCTCAGCGGGGAGTCTGCTTCTCCCTCTGCCCCTCTCCCTGCTCATTTTCTCTCTCTCAAATAAATAAGTAAAATCTTCTTTAAGAAATGGTTCACTCTAACCAAAAGTAAAACTCCTTTTTAAGTCTTGATAACAGGTTTAGTTATGTAAAGAGAAGGTAGGAACAAGCCCCAAGTGCACATTATAAATTCCCACTTAACCAATGCAGAGTTCTCATTGGGCAACGCTCTCCTCAGCTTGCCCCAGGTCAGTCACCTGCGGTAAAGCCCCAAGCCCGGCAGAACACTCAAAAAATTCAGGGACTTGGGGCATAAAATGTGAGTTAAGACCTACAGGAGGACAGCCCGTTTCATACTTCATTTACATAAGAAACCCAGGAGGCTTGGTCCCGGCCCCGCCCCAGGTGATCCCACATTCAGAAACCAGACACCTGCGAGGCCCCGGGGCATGGAGCATCTCACCGGAGCAGTCCGGTGGGCAGTGTTAACCCTGGGAACTAGAGCCGGGTCTCTGCGTCCCTCTCTCCTCCCCGGGATCACACCACCTCCTTAGGTAGTCCATTTCTGTGCCTTCAGTACCTTATTTTTGAATATATTCTCTTGCACATTCGTGGCTCATGCGTTCTAGGACATACTGACTCACAGCTATGTCATAAAAGGCTTTTGGAATTTGCCTGCCTACAGTAACCCATATTTTCAAAGGGCTTCTGAAATTGCTCAAATACCAAACCTTCTAGATTCTCCTCCTTTTCTAAATTTCTACATTGGGACTATGCTGTTTTTACTAGAACTACAGTTAAGGGATACTGTCGCTGATCTATAAATCAGCAAAAAATGTGTTTTTTCCTGGCTGTTTTCTCTGTAAAATTTGTCTCTTTCAAGGAAAAAGATATTTAGGATGACTTTTTCTTTTTCCCCCCCCAGGGATTCACAGAACTGCTTCCTATTGATTTGATTAAAATTTTTGATGAAAATGAGCTGGAGGTTTGTATTTTAAACATTTCCTTAAAGTTAGATATTCTTAAATGGTATTTTTTTATTCTCTGGCCCATGATGTCCTAGGGAGTAAGCTGGGATGGATTCTACTCTGTCGCTTACGGGGTGCGTTTGTCGATGTTCAAGTAGGGAATAGTGGAAGTGGTCAGCTGTAGATTCCTCACCCAGGAGAGGGTAGTTCTGGGACACAGCAGACAAGTAGAGGCCCACTGAGCTGGGTTGGGTTCATGGCCAGGTGCACCAGGTAAGGAAGATTGCTTCTGATAGAGTCATGGTTGGGACAGCCAGTTGGGGCGGCAGCGTGCTGCTCACAAGGTTGGGCTGGCTGAGATCCTGCACCTCCTCTGCACACAGTGATAGTCATGTGACCTTGGCCAGGACGTGAGCAGCAGGGGCTGTGGAACAGATGTCTCTGTGAACTTGACCTGGTTTATATTGCATAAGGAAGAACTTCAGAAGACAACAAGGTAGTAGCAGGAGGCAGTTGATATTGTATTGCTTCAACTTCTTTGTGTTGACCTGGAGGAAAACCAGCAACTTAAAAAGCACAGGGATCTCTCACCCTGTGTGGTGTTGAGAAATAGAAGGAGGAGGCTGTGTCTGGAGAACTTGTCACCCATTTGTCCAGGCCACGTATCCGATGAAGCATGTCGCACAGACTAGCCTTCTGTTCTTCCTTCTTGAAATAGAAACTCCAAGACAGATGTCAAAATCCTATAGTGTGAGCCCTTTGTTTTATAAGTGGGGAAACAGGTGGGGGCAGCAGTTAAGGACCTTCCGGGTTTACCCAACAAGGTTTGGGCACAGTCAGGCCTAGGATCTATTCTCCGGCTTCTGGTTTGGTTCTCCTTCCATTTTTCTTTGGTGCCTCTGCAGGAATATCATGCTCACTTTTCTTCCCTGAGCACTCCTTCCCTGCTTGGGGGTTAGGTAGCAGGAGGAGCCTCAGACTCCGTCGCAGGCCCAGTCACTGCATTCATGCAGGTCTGCATCCATGTACCTCTGGTCGGCGAGCTGGCAGAGAGGAGCTCCAGCTGCCATAAAGCACTGATTCCCCTGGGGTTCGGGAGACATTTCACATCCAGAGACACACAGGGTCTCAGAAGGGCAAACAGCCGGAGTAACGGGCAGCTGTAAAGGGAACGCAAGAAAATCTGAGCCCCGGGCCCACGTTGGAGGCGTGGGCCAGAGACAGACATGGAGTGGCATTTCCACCACAAAAGGCCGTGGCCTGAACACGCGTTGGAACTGGGTCCCCCTCCTTACCTGCCCTGCCTCGGTGATCGGAAGGGGCAGGAAAGTGATGTCCCCGTCATGCATCTTTAAGAGTTGCCAGCTTACCTGCTTTGCAGACGACAAAATGCTGGCACTGAGAAAAGGCCGTTCCTCCATGGGTGATTTATGCAGCGCTCACGGGGCCCCACTCACATCTACTCAATCTCCCTCCTAGTTGCTGATGTGCGGCCTTGGCGATGTGGACGTGAACGACTGGAGGCAACATTCTATTTACAAGAATGGCTACTGCCCAAACCACCCTGTCATTCAGTGGTTCTGGAAGGTAAGGCCATGGCTGCCTGGGTGGTCCTGCTCCTCAGGCTCGGTTGGACCCCTGGGGGCAGAAAGCAGCCCTCCCTGCTCTTTTTCCATAACTCTAGTGGAGAGCTGTCCCTGCCTCGGGTCGATCCTTGTCAAAGCACTTTGTCCTTCCTTAACCACCTGAGTAAAGCAGCTCTCTTTGAGGAACCCACGGAGTAGGATAAAGTAGGTACAGGAGTCCGAACTGGCCTGCCAAAGTGTGACCGAGAATGGGAGGCTTCTCAGGGCAAAATGTGCTTTGGGGCTGACTTTTCCAAGATGCCGTTTTTGGTTAAAAAAATCACTTTCCCCATTTTATTGGTTAATTCCAACAAACATTCTGATTTCTACATCCTTCAGTCAGAGATGCAAATGAAATGTGATTTACTGTCTTAGGGCCAGTGTTTGCTTTCCCTTAAGCTTAGGAGAGAAGTGAAATAGAAATGAGTTGAGTCCAAGGGAGAGACCATAAACTGCCTTCTAAAGAACAATTTCAGGGCGCCTGGGTGGCTCGTTTGGTTAAGCCTCCGCCTTCGGCTCAGGTCATGATCTCCGGGTCCTGGGATGGAGCCCTGCATTGGGCTCCCTGCTGACTGGGGAACCTGCTTCTTCCCTCTCTCTCTCTCTCAAATAAATAAGATGTTTTTAAAAAAACAATTCCAGGGGGGAAAAGGGCTGATTGCTTACTTACAAAACTAAGAACTCCTATAAATGTTTTAATTGCTAAATCTCTATTACAAAGATTATTTCAAGTGCCAGCAGTAGTGGTGAGAGAGAAAATGTTAAAAGCAGACTCTTCAAAGCCTGGTCCACGTGTCTGCCCAGTTCCTGTCCTGATTCAGATGTGTAGCATGCACAGGGTATTGTAGGGGCCTGTCCTGGCCTCTGTTTTTCTTTTAATAAAACGTTCTCTTTAGAGAATTTGTCTACAGTCTGAGATCTCACACCGAGACCCGGGTTTCCCTGGTGTCGGCGCTTCTCAAACACTGGATGTCTGTAACTGGCCCGGGGGTGCTGGCACGCTTCACCCACACACACATGAGCTCGGTGCCACCAAAGAGTTTGTATTTCATTTCTTTTGACCTATTGGCAGAAAAAGAAAGAGACATTGTGACCCCTCTCGTTCTCTGAGATGACACAGGCGGTATTCAGGTGCCCGTTAAAAAAAAAAGACTCCGTTTTCAGTCACCTGTCTCGGTCTGACGCCGCGGCGTTGACAGTGGGGTCCCGCGTGTCTGCGTTAGCGTGTGCGTGGTGTCCCACGACGCTCTAACCACCTTCTGCCCCCGTCCCTAGGCTGTGCTGCTCATGGACGCCGAGAAGCGGATCCGGTTACTGCAGTTTGTCACGGGGACGTCCCGAGTACCTATGAACGGCTTCGCCGAACTTTATGGTGAGCGGGGCTCTGTGTGACTCACTGCTCCTCCTGCGACTTGGCAGCCAGGCGTCCGCTGTGGCCCGGCGAGGCTCGGCCCCCCAGGCACGCGTGTCCCCATGCGGGATGGGGTGGGGGGGCTTTTGGGTTTGTACAGAGACCAGTTGGTCTTTTCTGTTTTTCTTGTTTTGTATTGTGGGGTATCTTGAGGGACTCCGTACCTCCAGGAGACAGAATTGCTCCGTGCTTACTGTAGAGATGTTAGAGAGACTCTTTCCGCTTTGTGTAGTAAAGGTCACGCTTCATTCCTCCCCACAAAAGGAGCTTTATGTGTAAGCTTGCGGGGTTCGGCGGCAAGGCTGTACCTGTCTGCGCCTCTGCGTGCTCTTCAACGTGGCGCGCCTCCAGTCCGAACTGATGCGCGGTCCGTGCCCCCTGAGGCTGTGCGGGCCTCTTGCTTCTCCCCCAGCAGATCTTCAGTACTGTCTGGGAGCCAGGGAGGGTGTCTGCGGCTCTCGCTGGTCACGCCCGCCCACCTTCTTCCCCTTCCTCCAAGCCCCGCCTTAGCTTTGTTGTCTGCCTGCCTCGACAGTGCTTGGCATTTATTTATTTCTCTTTTTGTCTAGGTTCCAATGGTCCTCAGCTGTTTACAATAGAGCAATGGGGGAGTCCTGAAAAACTGCCCAGAGCTCACACATGGTGAGTGTCAGAAACACACAGTTGTCCACAAATAGGGCTTTAAATACTTAGCCGGGGCTGATGCTGGGCTGGAGGTCACAGAAGGCTATGTTGCCTGCCCACGAAGAGCAGAGTACGAGGTGCCAGTGATGGCGATGAAATGTAAGTTGTAATGCTGATAAGACTCAAATCAGGGTCTGCACGGACCCAGTGTGTTTGTCTCATAAAGGGTTAAACACCCCCCCCCGCCGCCCCGTGCTGGGGGGAGTTCCTCCTCGAGACCCCATCATTCCTGGAAGCAGAGATTTCACTGTGTATTCACTCGACATGGAAATGACTGTTCTCAAACTCTATAGACAGATTGGATTTTTATTCTAACCTTAAGTTGGTTTTTATCCCCAGAACATGGGATAAAATTCCCTGGAGAAACTTTGTTTTAAAAGGTCTCTTATGGGGGCCCCTGGCTGGTTAGTCCGTTCAGCGTCGGACTCTTGATTTCGGCTTCGGTCATAATCACAGGGTCGTGGGATCGAGCCCCGCATCAGGCTGGGCACTCAGCGGGGAGTCTGCTTGTCCATCTCCCTCTGCTCCTCCTCTCTCTCTCTCAAACGAGTAAATACAAAAAAATAAAAGGCCTCTCATGGCTATCAATAACCCATACGTCTCTGGAGTTGAGCAACAGTACAACTGGCTGTGGAGGAGCATGAGGGGGTGACAGAGGCCCCGTCCCCGGGGGTCAGCGGCGGAGACCAGTGTGGAGCAAGGCAGCCCTCAGGCCTGCAGGCTGCAGGGCAGGAGAAGGGGCCTCCCATGTCTCTGAGAAGTCCCCTAAACCCATCAGCTCTTGGGGGAGCTCTGACTGATCCAAGCGCCCGTGTTCCTTGGGTTGGTTTCCCCCCACAGGCTTTTATTTCTTGCTCTTAGAAGCAAGTGGAGGTGGGCCGTCTGGAAAATGGTGAGCCCACGGTCGTCGGCCTCCCACCTCACTGCTGGAGAGCCCGCTCTGGGCTGCAGGGTGCAGCCGAACACTCGTCGTGGGAGACGCCTCCCCGGCCTCAGAGTACCTAGGAGAGAATTCTCATGAAAGTGTATTTGTGGAAAATTGGCTGTGGGAGGTTCTTTTGATTCCCTCGCCTTGCCAGAGAGGAAGCATTCCCCGTTTATACCATTCACAGGACTGAATGGCAGGAACGTGGTCCTTGCCCGTCCGGCCCTTGAAAGCAAGCTGACCCCACCTACAAGTGGTGGATCTCCCAAGCAGCGATTGCCATCATTCTCTGCCTTTCTTCTAGAGGGAGAATGTGTTGCTAGTTCGGAGCTTTTATTCCAAACAGTATCTGAGTCAAATGTCATTTTCTGGGTTATGACAGCCTTCGTTTGGGGGGCAGTCAGTACAGAGCTGGGCCCCGGGCCTGCTGGGACTGATGCACAGCTCCCAAACTCATGGTCTCGTCATGAGAAGGCAGAGTGAGAGCTGAATGGTTGGGCCCAGCCATCTTCTGTGGGCCGGGGATGATCAAATCTCTCTGGTGGCGTCAGGGCGCGCTCGGGGAAGCCTGCCCTGTGATCACGCAGCTCCCAGATTCCCAAAGCGCAGGATTAGGACTCAGCTCTGCCAGAACCAGAATCTACACGCTAACCCTGCACTGAGATCTGCTGCCTCGGTTGATACAGTTCACTTTCTTTGGAGGCTCTTTGAGGAGAACCAAGGAATCGAGTGTCCAGCCCATGTGTCCCTCTGTGCCCCTATGGACAGATGTCTTACCGTTGAACTTTCCTTCTGTTCCCAAGTCCACATGCTTGGGTCACAACTAAAACCTAGTGCTGCCCAGATGTGGCCTCTGAATTCAGTGGTTCTCAATGTCGGCTGCACATTGGAACCTCCTAGAAAGTTTTTTGTTTGTTTTTTTGTAAATACGGGTGCCAGGGTCCTGGCCCCAGAGATGTGGACTTCGTGGGTGTGGTGTGTAGCCTGAGCTGTGGGATTTTCAGAACTCCCCAGGTGGCTCTGGCAGACAGCTGGAGTTGAAGATCCCTGCCCTTCCCTAGGACGAATGTCTGCCCACGGGAGGAAAGCAGCCCCGGGGGCTCTTACCGGAGCCTCTGTGCTTCTCTGTGGGTCACAGCGTCTTCCTGCCAGTGCTCCCCACAGATGGCTGCCTCCCGCTGAGCAAGGGCGCTGGGCGCAGGCTGGCAGGGGGGCACCCGTCCTCCCAGCCCTGGGCTGTGCTATCCAAGAGGAACGGAGCTTTGCTGGCTGCTCACAGCAGCAGCCGCCACCGAACTTCAGCTGGAGATAGGCCTGATTTCTTCCATGTTTTATGAAAAGATAAAATTGGCAGTTAAGCTTCAGAATACAAACCTGACTTAGCAGGAGGGCAAGAACTAGTGTACTTTCCGTAAACCTCGCAGAGGTGATTTATCCAGTGTCTGAGATGGAAAGGGCTTCATCTCACTGTTCTAGCTAAGATCAGTCCTTGGATATTTAAAATTACACTTTACGAAGAATCACAGAGCCGCCTGCTCTTTGGAGGAGACTAAAAATGACCTCCTGAGGCCCTACTTCTTCCACGTGAGGAAGTGAAGCCCATGGAGACTATGGAGGCCACTCAGCTGGCTAGTAGCCAGGCCCCAGCCAGACCCCTGCCCACCAGCTCATTCACACTTGGCAAGTGCTTGCTGTGGTCCACGCAGGGTCCTAAGCACTTTATGTGCTTGAACTCCTATGATCATCATGGTGATTCTGAGCAGAGGGTCATCGACAAGGGGCAGGTGGTGACAGAACCTGGAGAAGGCACCACCAGGCCCCCTAGGGATCCCCGGCCCTGGACTATGAAGGACCAGTTGCAGTTGACACGAAAGCCACCTTCTGTGACAGGCTCCCGTTAAGTGCAGTCTGCAGAGGTGAGGTTCTGTTTCACGTTTGAGAGCATCAAGGAACTGAAAACCCTTTTAGACGTCGGCCTTCAGGGTTCCTGGGTTCCCGAGAAATGTGGGGACTTGTTCTGTTCATATTTGGAATCACAGGTGACTATCGGGAAGTTGCTATCCGGGAAAGCACTTGGCGTGGGATCTAGTGTAGAGTAGGTGAGCGCATTCCAAATAGACTCAACCTTGGTTCATCCCAAACACATAAGTGCTTGGTGTTCAAGGGTCTGAAACTCGGCACACATGTCAGGGACCCCCCCCCTTCTCGGGCCTCCCCCCCACCCCAGCTGGGCCTTTCCCGGCCCCCCCGGCCCCACATCTAGCTGTGGTAGAGAGGTTTTGTGGCCTATCAGAAAATTCTCGTCTCTCGTCCATAGGTTATATAACCTCTTTGGCGTGGACTGTGTCATTGCTGGTATTTATTTTTGATGACTCGGAATTGTTGCTGAAGACTTGCACATCCTCTTGCTCAAATACCAAATGCCTGCTTAGCCCCCCCCCCCACCCCACCAACCAGGAAAGTTGTCATGACCACAGGGTAACAAGGATAGCCTTTTATCTGTACTTTCTGTTACTTCTGCAGCTTTAATCGCCTTGACTTACCTCCATATGAGACCTTTGAAGATTTACGAGAGAAGCTTCTCATGGCCGTGGAAAACGCTCAAGGATTTGAGGGGGTGGATTAATCGCCCCCCGGCCTCGGGGTGGTGGTCGTCCAGCAAGTCCTGCTTGCACTTTTGCATTTGCCTAACAACAGACTTTGCAGAGACCAGGTGGAAGGAGGAGCCACAGGTGTGGCTCCTGGAGCCAAGCCTTCTCGAGCCTTCGCCCACGACTTGCCCAGGTTCAGACGTGGGAGCCCAGTCCCAGGTCAAGTTCCTGCATTTTCCACCACGAATTATCAACTGGTTGATGTGTACACTAATTACATTTCAGGAGGACTTAATTCTATTTATGTTGTGCCTCTGTAGGCAAAGCCCTTAATAAATATTTTACATACTTTATAATGACAATGAATGGAATTAATCACTCTACAGGTATAGTATTACAACTCATGTTTACTTTTTAAAATGATTTAGATCGATTTTCAGATTTTATTTCATTACAATTAAAGATGTCTCGTGTACTTGGAAAAGTGAGCATTTTTTTTTGTATTTGAATTTCATACCAGGTTTAATGTCAGTGACATTTTTTTTTATTTTTGAAGTACTTTGAGCACCTCCCCTCTCCCTACTTCATTAGAATTGGAAAACTGATTTTTGTCCAAAAACCTTCTACAAACAAGTACTTTGAGAGCATTTAAACTATAACATTAGGCATAATGATAATTTTCTCCATCCTCAAAATGCAAACAAACTGGATATTACTTTTTTTTTTTTTTTGTACAAATTTAGCATACTAGCTGCAGGCTAAGAGAATTGTAACTTAGCGTGACAAATTCGGTGTTGACTGGAAGGACTCACACCATTATTCCTTAGAAGTAATTACGTGTGCCAGAACACCTGTGGGACAGGGTCGGACTGCACTTTCTCAGAAGAGACATTACCTACCCCTCCCTGATGCTGTACAGGCCTTCTCTCCTCACCGTTTCTTCTTTGCTGTTCGTAGCAGAGACGTTTGAACGATCCTTGGCACCGCTTGATTTGAAACTGTGGAAACCAGAGATCTGTTTCATATCTTATTTGTATGCGTTGGCTAACGGTCGCTAAATAACCAGTTCTTTGTTCTAACTGCACCAATTCTGAAGGCACTTTATGTACGACATGGAGGTCCCGTCTGGTTTCGTTGATGTTTTGGTTTTTTACCGTAGACATTCAATGTGGTGATTATTTCTTCTCCCTGCACGCATCTTTCCGGTGCAATATCTGTCAGTTTTGACTCTGGCTCCTGGTGTCTAAAACCTGGCTGTAAAGCTGAGCCTACAGACCCCGTCCTTACCCATCGTTCTGTGATTTCGGGGCAACTACCAAGATTCATTGAATGCACACTTCATCTAACCGGGTTTTGTGCCCTGGGACATGTTGCATGCTTCGCCACTGCGTACTGCCTGAGTGGTGTCCATTCTGTGCTGGACTGAAAAGTGAGCAGGAACTTGCATTTGACCCCCGCGGTCGGTCGGGCCGTTCGGCTGGCGGTGGCGGGGATGGAGGGTTCCGCGTGCTTGGATTCTTTGCCGCTTGTGAGTGTTCATCGCAGAGTTACGTGGTGTTTTGAGAGGAAGCCTGAGGGCAGCCTGGAAGTTCAGCAGCTCTGCTGTCTTTAACCTGTGTTGTCCTAAACCCTGTCGTGACAGTCGGGGGGCTCTAGAGATTCGATCTCTTGCCATAGATAAGACAGAAAATCGTGGTTTTGGGGCCTCCCCATTGGTTATGTAAGAAGGACCTTTTGGTGTAAGAAATTCATTGCTACCCAGCTCTGGGTGGCTTGTGAAAGCCGTCTTAAGAGTTGCCAAGGTTGGAGGTACCGGAGAGAAGGTGGATTTCTACAGAGGTGAGGATTGGCTCCCTTTTCCTATTGATTTAAAAATATCCAATAGTGATCAGAGAACTTAGAGGTTGAATAATTGGAAAAAAACACAATACTCATTATTTTTCTCTATTTGTGGGATTTTTTTTTTTTCCTCTCTTCAGTCAATATGTAACAAATGTCTCATGGCAAAAACCCCCTTCATGTGGCCCCTCCTGGTCCAGAGGGCTTTCTTTCTAGGACTCACACCAAAGCCAATGCCTGGACGGATTCTTGAGAGTGATCATGTCGTTATAGGGGAGAAAGCCCACGATTCTAGTTGAAGAACTGGGATTCTGTCATTTTGTAAACCGTATATTCAAAAAATCAGAATATTCTGTGTAATTGCAAGTTAGGCAGTGTTAAAAATATGAAAGAAAAATCCATCCTAAGATCACTTCCATGCCAGGAACAGATGGGAATTGTCAAACTATACTCCTATGAATACTTGAAAGACCGTAATTGTGACTGACCACTCAGTTCATCTACCACTAAATGCTGGGTTCAGTGACAGCTGAACAGTGCTGGGTTTCGGGTTTGTTTTTTTGTTTGGCTTTTGATCGACATCGGATTCCCTCACCTCAGGAATTCTCAGTGTTTCACTCTTTGTCTAAAATAGTCCTAGATCTTGTTTTCTCTAAGTGCTGACAACCACTCTCCGACGTCTTCACAACAGAGTCCCAGGGACTGCTGGTCGTTCCCGTCAGCAGGCCCCAGGGAGGCGGGCAGGACTGGCTGCCTCCTCTAGTTACCCTCCCCTCTGGCGCTTCTCCTAAGTCCAGGGGCTCTGTACCTTCTGTTCCCTTAGAAATTACCTGGATCTGGCTTTTTTTAGTTGCCTGAAGAAAGTAACAGTTACTATGGGTCGTTTTGCCACGAGGTTAAGAAGCTAGTTCCAGAGTTAACAAGTGCTTTGTGGTCATGAGTTATGACGCCTGCCTATAGATCCTGGGTGTCTCTGTCCCTGTCCCTTGTTGGCCTGCAGGCGAATTTGGAAAGTCTGGATTAGCTTCAGATGGTGTGCTGCTTTTCTGCCGGCTGCCTCTGGAACAGGAAACCACGCGGCGTTTGTCTGTGGTGGTATTCAGCTTTGAAACATTTTCCGTTATGTACTTCTCTGTAGCCAGTCCTGAACCAAATCACAAGAATGTTAAGATGCTTCTTTGATTTTTGTTTACAAGGCCCTTTGGTCGAACATCGGATTTTCCCTGTGGTCAGATGGCAGATGCTCTACAGGGACGGACATAGGTTATTCCTCCCACATGAAGATGCAGCGACAGATTCTGAGAAATGGTTGGCAAAATATCTGAACCACTTTCCACATGTCACAGTGTTAAATAGACAACGTGTACCGTGGCTGTTTGATCTTGCCAGATCCAGACTGGCTCTCTTGAAAGCCAAGTTCATATGCAGCAAATTACTAATTGTTGTAACAGTTAACTAATTGTTTAACACTTGACTCTAGCATTTTCCTGAGTCTTGTGCCTCACCTCTGAACTTTTAAAATCTGTAGAGAGCGTAGGTTAATCAGTTCTCGAGCCCCCTGCCCGCTGTGCTGGCCACCCTCTTTTCCTCTGCACCCCCCACCCTTATTGACGGGGAGAGGGCACTTACTGTCCGGTGTCATCTCCTGCCTTGTCAGTAGGGGGCGCGGCTGCGCAGGGTGACTACCTGGTCTGCTCCCTTCCTGGCTCCCAGGAAATCGAGCACTACCTCTTGTCTCCTTCAGGCTTTGGGGTACATCCTGAGAAGTCACGTCAAAACTGCCAATTTCAGGTCTGAGATGCGTTTTTAAAAAATCCTTATAAACTCCACTTTGTACTTTAGATTTTAAAACTGGGAAGACAGTGTGATATACTTTGGACCACTTTTTAATTTATCTAAGCCTTAATGAACAGTGCATATACACTTGCATACGCACACCCCCACCCCCGAGTGTTTTCAGTGTCAGAAACGATGCTGTGTGTAGCATTAGGACGTGAGCTTGTGTCGTGTTTTATTTCAGAAAAGGATAGCTTTCCGCCTTTATGAAATTTTCCAAGAAAACTTCTCGTTAGACATCTATCCTTGGTGAAAGGTGTTGTGCACAGAGCAACGCATGTTTTAAAATGCATGTTTTCTTGTTCGTTGGGCTTATGTTTCTAAGGAGTATCAATAGGAATCTAACAGCATTGGCTACAGACCTCTGTCCTGCATCTCAGCCTCGTGTCAGAGCAGTGAAAGCCTTTCTGATGACCATAACCCTGAGTCCGCAGACATGTGTTCCTAGATAAGCCAGTTTGCCCTTTCACTCAGACTGATTTCGCCTAGATTGTCACGGTTTCCTTCATGTTAACTTTGCATAACTTTGTTTTTCCTTTACTACTACTTATGTGAGTTGTATATACATATATACTTACGTACGTATGCTGTCCAAATATATATGTATATATTTGTATAGCATTTTTACACCTTTCTCGAGTAATCTGGTTTCAAAAGGGAGTGAGAGCTTAGTCCTTCTACAGTTTCCTCCAAGCTGTGTCCTGAGATGGCTGACCCTCAGAGCCTGAGAGGGACCCCAGGAAAATGATGCTAATGTGCTGTCATTCCGTAATTCGGGATCTTTTACCAAATGAAACATGAAAAAAACAGTGACTTTTAAGGTGAAAAGAGTTTCAAGCATTCCAAATGAATTCTCAATGTTTCATAACTTTTTATTATAAACCCCCCACCTCCTAATAATACAAAGCCAAGTACTATTTGATACGGTGATTACAAACCAAACTACCTTGAAATTTTTTAAACACAACTTCTGGATAACGCTCCTTTTCACAATCAGAACGGCTTTAAAATATGGTTGAATTTGATACACACAGGAAAAGTTTTGTTTAAGAACAAATCCTTTTTTGCTTTTCATTTTTCTTGAGAGATCTAAAGAGAAATTGTAGATTGTTTTCCTGACAGCGAAAAAGTAATGTGACAAATGAAGTCGTTGTAAAGAAGTGATACAACTTGTCAAATACTTAATAAAGAATTATGGAAGCTGGAACGTTTTCCACATCGAGTATTATGGGTTGTCTGATTTCAAGCCTCTCCGTTAATGCGTTGTCTTAATTGTTCAGGGGATTTAAATGCCTGCAGATGTAGAGCACTCATTTCCTTAATATCCCTCAGAGCCCCACACCTCTACGACGCCATTGGAGTCTGCCCGAAACACAAGGCTCACACTCACTGGGATGCACATCTGTTCTTAGCCATCTGTCATCTTGTTACTCAGCTTGGGAATTAATGACTTTATATAATACTTGCATAACTCAAAGGAGTCCCTCCCTAGAAAGGCTTACCTCACTTCTGGTTTTTAACCGGCCAACCCTCAGTTTAATGTGAGTTAAAGAGTCGGTCATATAGTGATCTGAAGGGGTACATGCACCCCAGTGTTTATAGCAGCAATGTCCACAATAGCCAAACTATGGAAAGAGCCTAGATGTCCATCAACAGATGAATGGAAAATGTGGGGTGGGTGTGTGTGTGTGTAAGAATATTATGCAGCCATCAAAAAAATGAAATCTTGCCATTTGCAATGACATGGATGGAACTAGAAGGTATTCTAAGTGAAATAAGTCAATCGGAGAAAGACAAGTATCATATCTC